AGTTTAATGCTATGATGTATGTTTCATTATGTATGCCATTGCTTTTGCTTATTTGTTTGACTGATTGATGTATGGTATGTATGTTCTTCTTCATTTTCTTCAACTTCTCGACCTTGTCTACGTCTGCTTTTTGTTTTTCTGCTACTATGGCTAATGACACTGCTACTACTATGATTTTTTGCTTTTTTGTTTTTGTTTTTGTTTTTTTTTTTGTTTTTTGGATCTTTCATTCATTTTGGTTTTTCAACTACTAACGACACATTTAAATATTTGCAACTGCTCTACTTTAAAATAGTTTTAATTTTAATATATCATATGCCAGTTTGTCACATTCCTTTGCATACGCAACCACATCCGCATCCGCATTCGCATTCGCACACTGAGCCAATAGGCTGCCCCAACCAAAAAAGTATGCTACACTTTTGACTCTTCACTCAATCTCAAAAACTATTTGCTAACGTACTATTTTCTTGTGTCATATTTTTCTTTAGCCTATTTGCTTCAATTGAAAATTCAATTTGTCTCCATTTTGTTTAATATTGATAGCTATGCGTTTGCCTTTTATTGCTTTTAATTTAACTTTTACGTTTATGTTTCATTTTTATATATATATCTATATATATATATATGTATGTGTGTATATTTATGTTTAGTTCTCTAGAGGCTTTTGTTTTTTTTTTTAGGGAGTTTTGCGCTTTTCTCAGGGTTTTGTTACTATCTTTTTTTGAAAAAATTAAGGTACACATTAAAAATAGTTAGGTTTTTACTTTTTTAGGTAGGTTTTGTTTTTCTTCTTTTTGTTTTTATGTGCTTTCTATGCCTTTTTAAGAAATAAAAACTTTCAATAAAGGGGCTTTAATGACATAGTACACTACTAACATGCTGTGTGCTGTGTTCCGTGTTCTCTGTTCTGTGTTCTGTGTACTTGTGTGTTTGCCTTTGTCCTACTTTGACTATACCTGGTACTTGTGCGAGTAGCTGTAGTAGTTTTACGAGCAGCTTTGAGCTATAGACAAAGGATTTGTTGGCATTGCGGTGGCAAGGAAATTAAGAGCCTTCCAGCTGCAAGCTGAAGTTGCAACAAACGAGAAGCTAATTGGGTGGGTTTTAAGAAAACTTATTAGCTGCCTTGAATAGAGGCGCAGGAACAAAACGTAAGTCAGCAAAAAAAAAAGAATACAACTAAAGGAAAATGCTAGAGAAATATATGGAAGGGATAAAAATGAATGGAATCAACCATTCCCATTCTTTTCTTTTCTTTCCTCTCTAAAAAGACAATGAAATATCTAAAAGGAAATACGAAATAATTGTCTTCAAGTTGTAAAACAGGCAAAAAGCAATATTTAGTTTAAAGTAAAGTTTGTCTTTAAATTATGATACATGTTCCTAAAAAAAGATGGTTTAATGTGAAACTTTTTTAAGTTTTAAGTCCCAAGTAAAGCTACCTCGGAATCATTTACAGAAAAGCTCTCGAAAACCCGCTTCATAAAAAAAAAACTTGCACAAATCCGCCTGCACATCAACTTTTCATTCCCAAAGCTCAAACTCCAAAATGCACGCTACATTTTCATGTGTGAATCTGTGTGTGAATCTGTGCGTGTGTGTGTGTGCGTGGGTGGGTGTGTGTGTGTGTGTTTGTTGCATTTGAAATGTATGTAGTTTCCGTTTACTTTTTGTTTAGCTTCAGAGTTATACTTTTTTGTTGTTATGCTAGTTTCATTTGATTTTTTTTTGTATATGTTTATGTAGTTTTTTAAACTATTTTCTGACTTTTTGTCGTAACTATCGCAAGTACATTTTCCAAAACCGTTTTTGTTTGCATTTAATTAAATTATATGAATACTTTTCATTTTTGTTGTTGCTGTTTTTGTTTAGTGTAAATGTTGTTTGTTGTTGTTGTTGTTGCTGTGTTCGGTGTTTTTGTTGCTCTAACGAAAACCAAAACAAATGTTCAATCGGAAAGGCTTTTGTCCTTTGGAGTATTTGAAAAGTAGAAGGACCTAATCTGTTTATTTAACTTATTTTTGTTTATAATTTTTTAATCAATTCACTAGACAGAAGCAACTCTAATTTTCCAAAGCAAATCCCGAAAATAGGCAAGCAACGAGTATAAGCCGAACTATGAAAACCTTTGCTTGTTGCACATTTGCCGGCTTTTCAACGTTTTTTTTCATTTCGGGCAGCTTTTTTTTGGGGGGAGGCTTTTCCTAATTAGACACACTCATTGTTGTCGTCATTGGCGCTCTTTTACTGGGTCAAAGCTTTGTGGGCATTCGGTTGCAAGGAAAGCGACGGCGGGCTTGGTGGCAAGCGGGAGGTGGCATAAAGTGCCTTGCTCGACACCCAGTAAAAAGTTGCTCGTCAAGTGGCCTGAATGCACAAAAAGGAGGCGAATTAAAAAACATAACAAAACCTCAAACATTTTGGCCCATATTTGCGGCCACGCCTCCGGGGCGCAGTTCTCGAGCTCGGCACAGCGAACTTTTCCTTTGTGTTTTTAATTTCTAACAGGGCTAAAGTTTTTTCCGTAGGTGTTTTGTATCTAGGTATGTGTGTGCCTGTGTGGGTGTGTGTGTGTGTGTGTGTATATATATATATGTGTGTGGGTTTGCGCAAATAGTTTTTAATTTGTGGCAAACATTCTGTCGGCTTGCGCTCGATCTGTTAAATATGTATTTTTTGATTGTTTCAACTTTGCATTTGCCAACTTGTCACTAATCCATAGTCAATGCCAGTTAATGGCAGTTATCCTAAAAATATATGCTATATAGATTTGTATATATATATATTTATTATATATATACTTGACTTCTATAGCAATCGCTCGTTTTGCTTATGTTTGTTTGCCATTTTGGTATAAAAATTTTAACTTTAGTTCGGGTTTCTTTGAATTGTTAGCTTTATGCTTTTGCTTTATTTACTTTTATTTGCGTTTTATTTTGTATTTTTTTTATTATTAATATTTTTTCTGTTTTGTATAAAATACTCACATTCACATTTACAACTACGAACCACGTAACTACTTATAGATGTATTGTATTGTATATATAGACTTTATAGTAATAGTTATGTATGTATATGTATATATAAATGTATTTATGTATGTATGTATATCGTTATCGTATGTATGCACGTATGTATATGGTATATTTTTACTACTTCCGAGCAAACCTCGACGGCACTCAGCTCATCATTCCTCAACGCGTACGCCGGCTAGAAGTTATATATAGTCTAGGAGTAGTCTATATATACCTAAACTTAGGCCCATTCCAAATACCTACTCACACACCCTGTATAATGCTTAGCTCCTCTCTTTCGCGAAATATCTGACCGAAAACCGAGTATTTGTCTTTTGCCTAAAATGACGCATCAATTGCCTTAGAAGTTGCCTTAACGAGTATCAAGTATTTACAACTTAGGTTTAGCATACAATTAATTATAGCTAGGAGTGAGAGAGAGAGAGAGAGTTGAATGATACATGTATAAATATATCTATATCTATATATATGGATATATATATTTATAGATATATTTATATACATATATATGTATTTATATATGTTAAAGAGTGAGAAAGGCAACACTTTGAGTGTAGAGCATTTTATGAGTTGAGTTTGAATAGTAACTGAATACAACTTAGTAATACATATAGTATATAAATAATATGCAGTTAAAGCGAGTGTTAATAGTCATATAAATTAACAAAAAATATACAGTAAGCGCTAGGTTTGGGCAAATTGCGATAATAATGGAAAGTTGCATATAAAAATGTTATTTTTATAGACTTTTCATCGACAGCAGGAGCAAAAAGTGTGTAGGGGGATATTCAAGCTTGGGGAATATATTATCGTTAAGTTGCCCAAGCCTGGCAAAGGAAATGAATTAACATAATATTGTTGTATATCTCGTAATGCCGAAGCTTGTTTATCTGGTTTTCTAATCTAAAACCTTTCTATCTGATTGAAAAATTATAGTTAATTTAAACATGTTTATCATCATCACACCTGGTGCAGAGTTTGCTTCCTTTTTTTAATATTCTTTTTAGACTTTTACGCCATTTCTCAATTAAACAAAGTAAAGTCGCAAGTCTTTTCAAACCTCAACTAAATAAATGTGTTACTTAGTTGTTTGTTTGCTCTTTTTCTTTTTTTATATTTGGACGTATAAATGTTATATGTGTAATGTATGTAGGCTTATTTTTCTTTTCATTCATTCCTTTCTACGCTCCGAACTTAGTTCCTTAGTTTGCGCGCACTACAAGTGACTAAACTTAACTGGGATTTAATTATGTGTTATGCTTTACGAACTATATATGAGTATATTTATGTTTGTGGTTTAGTTTAGTTGCCTATATCTATGCCTTTGCTCAAGTGGTTTTTCTGAATTTCTTCATTTGCGATTGTGTCTTGCAATGTCCAACAAAAATCATCAGACGTCCAAGCTTTACATAAGTCAGACCCTATATATATTTATATATATATATATATATATATATATGCTATATAATAAAACTATTATGTAGAAGGAATGACTGCGCTAGTTTTTTGTTATTATACGTACTCGTATCATTCTATATATATATTTGCTTTTCTTTTATTTTTATTTTGTATATCATATAACGACAACAACAACTAATTATTGCTTTTCGGTTTTTAAAATGCGGTACGCGAATATTTTATTATATTTTTCTGTTTTTTTTTTGTTTGTTTTTTTTTTTTTAGGGTTTTTGTTTTTGCTTAAAGTACCTTAAAAAAATCATTAATAATTTACTAAGAGCTAGAACAAAAATAACAAAATTTGCGAGAATTGGCATAAATAAACAGGGGGAAACAGCAGAACAGAGAGCATGAGAGACAGACGGAGAGAGAGAGAGAGAGAGAGAGAGAGAGAGAGAGGGAGAGGATTCAGATTGGGAGGCAGGAGCGGGTATCTAGCTTATTATAAATAATTAATAGTTCTGCAATTTTTTCATAAACTTTTTTTTTGTTTTTCTTTTCGTATTTTGTTATTTGTGTTTGCTTTGCTTGATGTTGTTGTCTGTACTTGTATTGTAGTAGGATTAAGAGCTGTCATTTATAGTTAAAGAGTTGTGGTTGCATGCTTTTCTTTTGTTTTTCTTTTCTTTGCTTTTCTTTTCTTTTCTTTTGAGTATTTATGTATATAGTGTAGTTAGACGGTGGTGCCTGTGCTGCTGCTGCTGCTGCTTCGCTCTGCTGTGCCATTGGATGCGTCTGCTCCTCACGTCCTTAGCATCAGTAGCAGCCACCAGGATGCGGCGCCCAGCCACAGCAGACAGCTGGTAAACTGGCCACAATTGCTCCGGTTGGCACCGCTTAGTCCCCCGTGGACATCAGTCGCCGAGCTGCGACTGCTGCGTGCTGCTCCCTCGATGATGTTGTTGTTGTCCAGCTCATGGAGCACCGGCAACTCACTGAGATCCGCCGCAGGCGAGGTGCGCTCCGTGATGGGCGCGAAGAGGCGTTTCGGCTTGCAGCGCTTGTGCTTCTTGTAGGTCTTGGTCACATTTATGCTGTAGCCTTCGAGAAACTCGGAGCCCTGCAAAAGGAAATGGAGAAACATTTGCGTTGGTTCTGCATCTAATAAATTACAGCATTAATTAAATTTTTTCCTTCTCCAACTATTATATTACACCAGCTGAATAAGAGTGCGCGAGACGAAGCAGCAGACAGACAGATAGGAAATTAAAAAAAATTTAATTTCTCTCGTTGTCGTTGCAACCAAACCGAAATGTGCTGCGTTCTCTTTGAGTATAATCTAACTATATAAGTTTACTCCATGTCCATGTAATATATGAGTAACTATTTGGGTGAACTCTTACTGCTTGCAGTCCGATTGATCCCATTCGATCCAAGGGTCATATTCTCACTATCCTCTATGCCTCCATCTGCACAGGATCTTCTCACAACTTCAACTGAGCTCCAACTTCTCTAGGCTGTTTATACTGCTGGCTCCTCTTACGCCTTTATACACTTCATTTGCATTCACATATTTAACACACACGCACATTTACACTTTTGTTTATTGAATAAACGAGATGTAACTTATCTGACTTGCTCTGACGGATAAAGGATGTCTATATTATTTTGAAGAAATTCCATATTGAAATTAAAAGCTGCCCCTGCTATGAACCTTGCGCTATTCCAGACGATTGCCATGACTAAACATACTTTATGCCGCGCTGAGAATCTCTATGCTAGGGCGCAAATCCACAACACCTATACAAATTCCAAGCACAATAAGAATACAATGAAGCCATCAGATTTGTCGTTTTCCACTCCAGCTCCAGCGGCAAAATTTTGCCTTTTAATTACGCTGCATAAATTTGTGTTTATAAATAGGCAATGGCAATGGCAATGGCCACGACTCTGGCTATGGCTACGGGTCTGGTCTGGTCTGGTTTGTGCGGCTCGAAGCTCGGGGCTGGGGATTCGGCTCGGGTGGATTTGGGCTCGGGTGCGCCATCTTTCCGGGCTGCGGTCAAATATTTTATGGCAGTCGAAAAATCTAAATCGAGTGAATGTCTGCATTTCGCCAGTGGGCGTGCCATACGATGGGCGTGAGCGAGAGAACGAGAGTGAGACTTCATAACGAGTGTTTACTAATAATATTATGCAAATCGTGCGACGGGCCAACGTTGGAATCAGGAGCCAGCGATTCGTTTGTTTGCTGTTTGCTGCTGTTGTTGGCTGTTGAATTTTTCAAAAGGCATTTTGTGAATCGTTTTACGCTGCCAAACTCAACTCAAAGCCGTACCCACAGCTCCACACCTCATCCAGCCCCAAAAAGAAACAAAAAATTAAATATGAAAATACTTGACAGACATTCGCAGGTGTGTTTGGACAGCTTATACTTTGTGGGTGTATTCAGCAGGTGTCTGGGGTTTTTTGGAATTGCCTTCCTGTTGTTATTGTTGCCACTGACAGGAACAGGCAGCATAATTGAAAAGGAATGTACGGGTACGGCCTGGCGGGGCCACTCGAAATTATAAAATGTGCATAAATTTAAAGCCTTAATTGCCGTGCTTTAAGCCACGTATGCAGAATTCTATAGATTCCTCTTGGATTTTGACATGCTAATTAGCTGCCGGGTTGGCCCTGATTTGGGCGCTGGTCATTTGAGTTTTTGGCCAGCAGCTTTTTGGTTATGCCACGCATATCCTGAGTGTGCTTTAGTATTTTGTGTTTTTTTTTGTGTGTTTCTTTCTGTTTTATGCTAATTAGTGTTGCCAGGCAATGTTTGCTTTGTAGGCAGGTGTAACTTTGAAATGGGTTGCGCGTTGGAATTTATGCCGAAATACATGTGTGTAATCCTTTCTGATTAGAAATGAAATTCATTTGAAATGCATCTAGTTTTAAATAAAGGCTGAAATGTTGTCATGGGCTTCGAAAATAATCTACAGGCTAAACGCAGATTAAACAACAGCTGAAAAAAGCTTTAAACAACAGCTTAAATCCTTACATATAGTTTGAGCATATATTTTATAAATACATACATAATGGGGCATTTATTTTGAGTTGGCTTTTTGCAATGCATTTGATTTTTATCTAAGAGCCCTATTGACTGACGCCAGATGCTGCTAACTTTAGACATTTATTAAAAGTTAACAAAAAATTCAGTTCATTTAATTTATGTTTTTATAACTTCTGAAACTAGGCCTTCCGGCCCATCGACTTTGAAAGCATCTACAAAAAAAAAAGGGACTACACTTCAGCGATTCATAATTTTTTTAGTCAGCTTTGCCAAATGGGCCAAGTTTTGACTTTTTTCTTTATGTTTTTTTTTCTGCAAAGGTGCCTTGTACATTTTTACGGTACATTGAACTCAATTTACCTTTCTATCTGCAGCTGGTTGACATATTTGCTCATCATTTGCCCAGAATAAAACTATTTTATCGGCTGGCTAAAGCTTTTTGTCTCTTCTATTTTATGCACTCTCTGCTCGCTGCTAATTTGAACGCTGCTGCAATGGTTTATAAATCCAATGGATCTGTCACAGAAGCCAACGGATGCCTCGAGGCTGCCTCCAATGAATTATTAACTTGACGGCTGAAGAATAAAAAGGGGCAGGTGGATGGGGAGGGGAAGGTAGCGTAAAGCGTAAGCCAAACCGAGCTGGAAATGGTCAACAATATTTAACGCAATAGCACGGAAAATCGATGACAATTCAAGCGTTGATAATTTTGCTTCCCACCAGCGCGAGTAGCATGAAGAAAAAATGGCAACAATTCCCAACTTAAGCAATTTCCTACAATTTTCCAGCGACTAGAAGCATGGTCATATGGGAGCATTCATTCAGCCAGCCATCCATCCACTCAGTCTGGCAGAGAGTCAGTCAGTTAGTCGGTTCGTCTGTTGGTCGCCCGGCTGAACGAATCGCTTGAGCCATTGGACGTGAATTAGTGTGGCCGGCTGGCAGCTGGCTGGCTAGCGACTTGGTTTTAGTGTGTGACCCATTAGAATGATCGTTGTCGAAGTTGTACGTGCGCCGGGCTGATATATGTGACCTGGTTGGGTCTGCTCCGCTCTCTGCTCTGTGCACCGTTCTGGTGTGGTCTGCTTGAGCCGCGTCTGGCCTGTAAAGTGGCGCTAACCAACTCGAATGTTGCCCATTGGCAGCCAAGCCCAGCCCAACCAGCCAACCAGCCATCAGGCAGCCAGCAACTGCAATTGATTGCACTTTATAACGTGCGGTTTCCGGTAGACATTACCCGCTTTGCTGCAGCCACATTATCCGGGCCCTCAGAGATAAGAGAGGGAGAGTTAGCCAGAGGGGGTGTGTAGGCCAACTGCTGGGCTGGGATGCCTCTAATGTCTTTTGCCCATACTCCTGACGATGAATAAATGAGCACTTGTCTAGGATCTCTGTGTGTGTATGTGTGTGTCGCTGGCTCCCAAACCAAATGGCAGCAAGAAAAATTATCCCAGATATTGTCTAGCAATTTAGCTGATTAAGCTGATGGATGTAAAGCAGGAAAAGCAGCGAAAGCAGCGAAATGTTGCCAGCGATCAGAGAGCAGATTAAATGAAGTTGACAAGAAAAGGGTTAATGCGATTTCAACTGTGACAGCAGCTTACGATGGCCACATTTCTTGCCAACTGAATTACTAACGACGACTATACTACAGAATTTAAGGCAAGATATACTTTAATACATGGACACACATATTTAGAAACAGCACGCAACCAATCCTGCCTAATAGCTCAATTATTGTTTCATTTGGAATTCTGTATCATATTAGGGTATGCACAATTCGTTGTTGTTTACGCTGAGTCTCTTTCATTCTTGTTTCGTTTGTGACTTTCACTTGGTTAGACATTATCGCTGGGATAAATCGAAGTTGCTTACTCACCGGCACCACATGATTCTTGGCTCCCCAGCAGATGGGCTTAAAGCTGCCCTTGCGTGTGGCCTCTTGAAATTCGCCAAATTGATTTTCCCAATCGTAGGATATCAGACGTGCCTCCAATGTCATGCCAGCCAATTCGGGCGGTGATGAAATCAGCACGGGATTCGAGTCGCTGCACAGAAGAGAGAAAGTGAAAGAGAGAAGCAAAATAACATTATTAACTTTATTATTATTGTCAACTTTGATTAGGACTTAAAATTTATTACAGCCTCCCTCCGTCAAAAAGGCGCCTTGCCAGCAGATTTTCAAGTCCTATCGCCGGGTCGACGGGGGATTGGTAAGTTGGTAAGTCGGCGCAGATTTGCGCCGGCTTTTCGCTGTCGATGGGAGTTTCAGGGGAAAGACGGTCGACGAAAAACTTGAGCTAATTAATCTTTTAGATTTCATTTGTGACGCGTCAAATACTTTATTTTTATTTTTTTTTGGGTATGCCAGGGGTGACGCGGCCAAACGAAATAAAAACCGCACCACGAATAAAGCAGGGCAGACAGAACGAATAGCAGCGGGCCAGCAGCAGCAGGCGGGCAAAAACCCCAATAAATGGGCCAAAAGTGTAAAACCTCAAAGCAAATGCCTGGCTGCGGCCAGGCACTCTGCAGGGAATGCGTCCGAAAAATGTTGTCTGCAGAAGGTGCAATGACTAATGAGCTGGCTTAGATATATATTTGTTATCTATTTAACTTTTCTATTTATTTATTTATTTTCTGGTTTGTTCTGGGAATTACGTAGCAGCGCTTTGGCAGCTGTAGCCAACCCTTGTGCCGATGCCATCATTAGTCTGGCTTGCCTGTCCGCTATTCAAGATGTATTTTTTATGGCTAACGAGTTAACAAAATGGCACTCGCTTTTATTAGATTACTCGCTACTCGCTGTAAGTAGGTCACTCGCTACTCGCTCACTTTTCCCTGCACTCTCGTTGTTTAATTTCAAATGGGTTTCGCTTCAGTCTCGACCTTTACAGCCGTCCACGCCGCTGCATCTCTTGCGCAATATAAATTCTTTATACATACATTTCATTTGATTTCATTTCATTCATTTCATTCATTCCCTCTATTCATTCATTTCGCTTCGTTTCGCTAACGCCATCTATGATTGCCAGCCGGCAACACGACCCCACGACCCCATGGCCCACCTCTGCGGCCATAGTCTTTTTCTGCTCTCGTCTCGACCGCCCTTACAATTAGGCTAATTAATTTTGTTCTTTGGCTGGCATTACGAAAAATGTTGCTTTAATTTTCTAGCGCACATACAGCCGCACATAGACACTGACACACACACACACACACACACAGCCACACACACACCCACACACACATCAAAAGTAAAACATGAGCCAAACGCACATTTTCTTTGTTGTGCTGGATGCCTGCTTCCTGTTTGACTGTATGGCAGAATCCTTTGCAAGCCGCAAACAAATCTCTTTTAATTAATTTATGATTCCACTCAATCCGCATCGAGGGTTGTATGATATCTACAGGGGCAGACAGCGTCCCGTCGCGCCATCGGGCTGGGTATTGGGTAAGTGGCTGCTGCAGCGCATCAGAGCCGCAACAATTTGCGGTTGGCAACACGAAAATATTAATGTCTGCGGATTGATTGCAGCCACCCTTCCCCAGTGCTTCAGCGTCGCAGCACAGAAACCACCCACAAAACTAAAAACTGGCCACTTGTATGAGTCTCGAGTGTGAGAGCGTGTGGTGTGTGTGTGTGTGTGTGTGGTCCTGTCCATTGTACACCGTAATAATAATATATAAAATAAAATATTGCATTCATCCATATGTTGAACTCTGTTTGTGGCCTGTGTCCTGTGTGGCTGCGTCCTGCGTCCTGCGTCCTGTTTCCTGTGTCTTGCATACGTGTATCTTTTGACAGGAACACTCGCATCCCCTTCCCTTAGCCCCTTACCAATAGTTGGTCGGTGTTTGCGGTTTATTGAGCGAACCATTGCGTAGCGTCGCTCAACGCGTCGCTAATATATCCGGGCACCACGTGACCGTAACCTCCACTGCCCGCTGCTGTATCATAATAAATATAAATGCAGTGGAAACGCGCACAGCTGTTGCTAATGCTAAAAGGCAATGCCGGAGCATAGATTACGCTGATCCCTTGGCCCTCTGGCCGCAGCCACGCCCCACCCATCATGGTATGCAGCCCGCAACCGCCACATCAATCGCTGGCCGTTTCAGTCTTATGGCTGTTGACTTCATTGGCACTCAGTATAATTAAAATTATGAGCCAGCAGCAGCGGCAGTGGCAGTGGCAGCAGGACAAAAGCTGTGACTCCACTTTGGTTTGGCATTGTTGATTATAAAATCCAATAGCTGCACCACATCACAATGCCCATGTGCGCCACCAAACTGCGTTTGTGGATTGCCCTGCAGGGCACAGATCCTAAGCCGCGCACAAAAGGGAGCTGGCAGCAGCCGACAGGCAACAGGCAACTGGCAAGGGGCAGTTGCAGCAGCCGCAGCAACTGCAACTGCAACTGCAATGGCAACTGCAATACCAGTTCCAATGGGTTTATTTATGTAGCGTTATGACGGCAGCGATTGTGTGTGTGTGTGTGCGGGTGCGGGTGCATTTATGGAACGAAATTCAATTTTGAACTCCTATTACAATTGCAGTTGGCAGCACGGCAAAAAGCAATGGCCATGCCGATGACAAATGAAAACTTAAATTGCACAAATAGCCAACTGCTGTTGGGCAAAAGGACATTCTAGTCCCTGTATACGTGTGTGCAAGTGCCTCTATGTGGCTAACAATTGTTTATACATACTTGACATTATATGCTATTAAATGACAAGCTGGTAAATATGCCTAGAAGACTTGTACTAGTTGCGACTTATCAAGTGCAAATTACAGCCTGAACAAATCAGTATTTAGCTAAGAAAACGGAATAGCTTTGTCCCAAGATATCAAACAAGAATCAAAAGCACAAAAGAAATAATCAAATTTTAAATTGCTGCTGTCGCTGGTTGGTTCAACTCTTAAGTTACACAGGCTTAAGGGGTTCAATTAGGAGATTTCAGAGAAAGGCGAAGAGATGTCCGATAGTGAAATAATTGGGGAATTAAAATGAGAAGAAATGAGAAGAAAAACTCTCAGCGCAATAGAATTTAAACGGTCTTGATATATTATTTAATGAGATTTGTTTAGATCAGGCGAATCATTCGATTGAATAGGTTCAACTTATTAGAAATCTATGAGTTATTCTTGAAATTTAAATTTATTTCAGCTGTTGTTCGTTACAAGCTGCTGCCAAAAATTCATTAAGAATAATTGCTTCACGCAAAAAATAACCACAAATTAAAAATGCCAACCACGTGCTGTCAAGCAATTTGATATCCTTTGCCATTTGCAGATGAAAGCAAAGGGAAGTGGAAAAGAAGCGCATCAATCGATGGACGCTGGTTGTATAATGAATGGAAGAAAATGTAAAAGAAGAAGTCATCAAGTAATAAAGGATATCAGGCAGGATATCGAAGTCTTAATGAGCTGCGCAGCCCAGATAAAAGGTAAAACAAAGCGTACCATTAAGACACAAGATATCTCTTTATCATTCGAGTTGGCCTTAAACAATTAACAAACAACAACAATATAATGAAGCCAATTTAATTGCAGCCCCGAAAGGCAGGAGGAGCCGTGGGAGAAAGCGAAATAAATAGAGGGGCACAACTTGAATAATTACTTTCATTTTAACGTTGGGTAATTAAAAAAAATATATAAAAAAAAGTAGATGGCACACACACACTGGCCAACAAAAACTGGCCGCACACATGAGCATACAATTAAAATTAATTTCGGTGCCATGGCCAGTGCGTAAATTGTGAAAACCACTATCACATTATTTGGGCCGTGAAAAAATCAGGCAACCAAAACCCAAACGTATAACGTAAATTAAGCCAATAACTGTTGGGTCATGGGCATGTGTGTGTGTGTGTGTGTGTGCGCGCCACAGTGTGAGAGTGTGTGCGAGTGCGAGTGTGTGTTAATGTGAGTGTGATCAATGAAGCCCAAACAGTAGCCAGTGCCAGTGCTTGCCACGCCGCACTACAATGAGGCTCCTGTGAGCGACTGCATTGTGCTTTATGTCCTTGGGTCTGGCCAGGATTCATTGCCCCCCGCCTGCCGGACTGCCCGCCTGCCACAACACACGCTAACGACTCCAATGAGTTTTGCATGACGATGACGATGACGATGACGACGACGATGACGATGAGCACAACATTGCTTGTTTTGTCCGCCATTCTCCTGCCCTCCCCTGGCCTGCCAGTCCTGCCCGGTCCTGCCCAGTCCTGCTGTGTGGCCCGTCTGGCCATAACTTCAGCCAGCTGAGCTGGCTGCTCGTTAGTGTGTGGGCTGGTCAATTGAGCCACAGTTGAACTGCAAACAATTTTTGGGCTATATATATGGGCCCTCAATCGACTCGAGCTCTCGAACTCTCGAACTTTCTGAGCTGCGCCGATGCTGCACTATGCTAGTCGCAAAATCTGTGCGTATCGAATTAAATTGAATTTCGACCGTAATAAGCAAGCGGGTCGAAGGTTGTCATGGCAAGTAGCCCATAATTACATTAGTACTGGTCTTCACTGGCCTGGCCAATGCATGATTAGCTTATCATTCATGGGCTTGCAACCGGACGACCAAATTACGATAATAAATTGCAAGCAGCTTTAAGCTGCATCGAAATTTTCAAATCATCTGGATTCTGCATCCATGCGCTCAACTTCTTTCAACTTGTTTCTGGTCGAGGCACTTTTTGCACAAGGATCAAACAGAAATTTGACTTTGAATTTGCTTGCTCCCCTTATTTTTCGACTCGTTATTGCCTCGTTATAATTCGCAATTAGTTTAAGCAACGGGTAAGGGATCCGTGAAACCGGCTGGGACAATATGTCCTGGCATAATATAGCTGTAATATATGTATAGCGCAATCTGATTCCGCTATTAACAGCTTTCAGGATTTCTGGTGTAAGAATCAACATTCTTGTGGTCCAATTGTTGTATAAAACAACGATTCTTTAAGCCTGACATTCAATATCTGGCGCTGCTCAAATATTTAGCAGCTGGGCAATCAGTTGGTTGCGCTCTGAAAACCGTTTCAGCTTCAAAAACTTAATTGTAATCCACCTATGGCGTTCAGTCTATTGTGGTATTGTCTAGTTTTTGTCATTGTTTAATTAAACTTGAAGCGCACAAGCGGTTTTGTGGTCGATCTACAGCCAGACGCCGCCCCCAAATGCAGATATTCCACTGCCTGTCCAATACATGCCCCTTGCCCACATTCCCATTTTCCACTTTCCCGCTGGATTGCAGTGGAAAAACAACTATGGCAATTTCATTTTTGTTGTTGTCGTTGCATTGTTGGGGTTTTCATTATGAATTTTAATCCTCATATCGCATTCGCACTTTCGGTTCAGGCCCAGGTCCAGAAGGACAGTCAGACAGACAAACTGACCGAACGCCGAGCCGAACCATTAAGCGCTACAAAATTGCAGTAGCCATAATAACTGACCAGCGGCAGTAACAACAATAACAACAGCAGCTCTGCAAGCATTCATGCCATTGTATAAGGCAAACAACAACAAACGCGTCAAACAACAACAACAACAACAACTGGCTGAGCGTGCCATAACGACAGACAATTGCAAATGACTTTATCAATTCATGTCGATTTTCGGTACACGCAGTTCAACTGTGTGCTTGTGTGTGCGTGTGTGTGTGTGTGTGTGTGTTTATGCGTGTGTATGCTTGGGTCGAGTGTGCATTGTATGGCCGTGTCAGGACAAAAAGCCACTGTATGGCAGGGCCTCACAATCACTTACAACAACACAGCAAACAATGAAGACAACAACAGCAACAGCAACAACGAAAGCAGCAGCAGCAGAGTGAAAAGCGGAAAGCAAAGAAAAGCGCTGAAAAGTGCCTGAGCGAAGTGTGCATATCAGATGTGCCGCCTATGGAAGATGATCTAATCTGAGTGGATTTTGAAGGCATAAAATGACTTAATGCTGATTTAAATGAATCCATTTTAATACTTTTCATATGCAAAGCCACTTAAACGAAGCTCACACACAGCGCACACAGACACAACAGCTTTTCGTATTCGCAGCTGTTCAGACGGGCGCTCACTAATACTTGCGCAATTACTCATACGCATGCATATATGGACTTAAGCCTGATGAATTTTTACGCTTTTACTCAAATTGCTTTGCAGCTTAAGTTTTGCGTTAATCAATTTTCAAAATGAATTCGATTTGCGCACAATAAATAAATCTTTAATTAATCGTTTTTTCACTCATTTGAGCTTGGCCTTATTTATTTATTTATTTACCATTAACATTCAGCCCAGGCGCCAGCTATTTGGTCCTTCAGCTGTTGTACTTCCGATGCATAACTCATTTAGGTGGGCTGTTTTTTTTTTGCCGCTTCTACCATTCCCGGCTGCTTAATCTATTTATGGCGTTTACTTTGATTTGCGCAAAGGATCGAAAGAAAAAAACGAGAGAAGGAGTACCATAGAAAATTATCTTTGATTTTGACTTGACCGTGTCGGTCTTGTGTCAATAGGAAGTGATTAATAGAGCGTGCGCCCGTCGTCGGAGGCAACCTTCAGAATGGCAACCATCTGAATCTCTACCCCACGGTACACATCAATTCAAAATGAATCTCGTGTCTGGCATTCAGGTTTAATTTCGACTAATTTTCAGCGTACGCTTTAATACAATATTTATGGGCTCCCCGAGGTGATTATGCCCGACCGCATTTGAATTGGTAGCCGGGCCGGCAAAAGCTATTCAGGAGTCAAGAGCTGGCTGAAGCATCCGGATGAACCGACTGAACTGGCTGCTGCTGCTGCTGCTGCTGTGGTCTGTTTGTTTAGCACTTGGCGTTAATAGAAATCAATATTTTCTAAATAAAACGAAACGCTCTGAGGTTGTGGCATAGACAGCATTCACTTGGCTGCCCCTCGACCTCAGGCTTGGAATTTATTTTTGCACATTTACAATTAAAACGCACGGCACAAAGCAGTTCATTCTCCAATTGTTTGTTAGTCAAATACTTCAAGCCAATGCATACACCCGATGATCAGTCTGCCTCAACGTCTCTATCAATCGGCTTTTGAGTAGTTGCGACTTCGTTAGGTGATTTGGTTATGCAACAACATCATTAAATCACCAATTACTTTAGTCAACAGTGGAATAAAGTGAATTTCCTTTTACACAAGAGCGTCGAGTGTGGCGCCGGTGGGTGCATAGGGCACACTACAGTGGGACAAAACTGAATAAGTTGTGTTCATAAGTTTCGAGTGATTGAGTTATTTAATTTGGATCAATGATAATCAACAGAAAACTTTACCCAAAGAAAGTTCGTCCGATGTACTTATCGACAAATTATCGGCTTATCGATATACACATTTCCATTCGTTTTTATTTTGTGCGATTTGCCTATCAATTTAATCAAAGACAGAAATCAGACATCAGACAGTGACACTTGTTTTGTCCTGAATGACTCCTGTTTCAATATGTTCTTCTTTATTTGGCACACATTCGATTAATCGATTGCCTGCTGTGTTCGCCTTAATAACTGTTTCCTGTGCACAATCTTGCTTTATCGATACTTTTGAATTTCTGCCGAATTAAATGTCAATTTAAATGTAGCCCGTCATTCAATGCTCGCCTCCATTGTGTGGCAAAAGCCTTTGGCTCTGCGGTGCCCGACTTCATGTAAATTCCACCATATGATATATATATATATATATATATATATACGTCTATATAAAATTTGTATAATAAAAGTGAGGGACTTACGTTGCAAGTTGTTCGATGCCAAGGGAATGCAGCACTGTGGGCAGGCTGGGTAGTGAATGACACGTTGTCAGTTTCTTTTGGCGTGGATAGTAAAGTGTCAGCACGGTGCAGCTTTCTTCCTTCATTGTGAGGCCACCTGTAAGGGAGAGGCGAGCAAAAGAAATGCATAAGAAATGCAACGGAAACAACAAGAGGACGGAAACAAAGAAAGCAAAATAAACACATATATATAGTATATATATTGGGAATAAAAGGAAAAATATCGCACGGCTGACAGCACACAAAATGCAAAAATACAACGCGCAGCTTTAGCGACAGTCACCAGCAAGGACAATTTCCTGGCTGGCTGGCCAGGTAAGTCGACCCCACCTCCCCCGTCACCTTATCCTACCCGCTCAATTCCATGACTCGCCGCCTCACTGGCTATGAACAAAAGACAAAATTAAGCGGCTGCTGGCTGTAAAGCAGCAGGCGCCATCATAATAATATTCCGCAAGACGACATTGATGTCAGAGCCGGCTGAAGGATGCAGGATGCTTGGAACTGGGCACAGCAGTAGCTGAAGCATCGGCATTGCCATTGCCATCGCCATCGCCATCGACATCGACATCGCCATCTCCATCGTCGTCCTCGTCATTATCATTGCTTTATTTGAGTTGGATGCTTTATGTTTTCGACGCATACGCCTGACTGCCTGTTTTACTGCTCAGTTCCCAGTTCCCAGTTCCCAGTTTCCAGCATGTCTATTCGTATATCTGTCTAGCTGTGTACGATATCTGTGCCTCCCTTTGGTGCAACATCGTTAGCAATGGTCTATTACGATTGTGTCTCCATAGAGTTGCACTCAATTGTTGCCGCTGCGTTCATTCACTTAGTCTAGATTGTAGATTGTGTGTGCAGCAAGCAAGAAAGTCAAATTTACGTTAGGTGTGTACTCTGTTTGTGTTTTCTAAAGGGGAGTGTCCGCCTCGAATGGCCAGCTGTAGGATTTTGTGCATTGCGAGAATATATCTATTAAAATAATTTCTTTATCTTAAAACAGTTGCAGATATAATTGCCTAAAATCTGTCATCCTTGAAGCTGTTGCAATTCTCTAAACTTCATTTAATTATTCACCTTTCAAATGTGTAATGACTGTGCTCAGTACGTCCCATTGTTGTCTGTTCTATTATAATATATATTCCTAAGAAATACTTGGAGCTCCTTCAGTATATTGTATCTAAACCTATTTTGCTCAAGTATATTCATGCTATACTTAATTTAATTAAACAGCGAGCACTTTTACTGTGATCAACTCTTCTCATTGTTGTCTGTTCCTTTATAATATTGCTTTCTCCAGTTACGGGCTTTTGAATGGGACCAATACGCTCCTTGTTTCGCTCAGCCGACTGTCACATTGTCCACTTTGCTGGGAGACTTGCACAGCTGTCAGTTCAGCTTGGTTCCCTCCACCTGTCACTGTACGTCTCAACACTCAGCCCACCAGCCGCCCACACCCAGCCCGCTTAACACCTGGCAGTTTCGTGCTAAGTGAAATGTTTCAATGTCTTGGTTTATGTATTTTACAATGAGGTCGTCAGCGGCTCCTCCATTACTGCATCTACTTTTGCCTTCTTCCACCTGCCAGGCAGCTGTCGTGCTCTTTATTTTTGTTAGTCCGTATGACGGTGCCTGGTTCTGGCTGCGACTCCGACTTTGGTTTCAGCTCCGGCTCCGGCATTGGTTCTGCTGCCTGGTGCTGCACTTGCTCCCTTTAGTACTGCTGCCGGCTGTCGCATATCGTTTGGGCTGATTTAAATGTGTCATAACGACGACTCGCCTGTTTGCCGGTACACGGTTGAGCATTGAAATTTTTGCACTTTTGCTCACGACAATGGCTGCTTGCAATTTTTATTTACTCTATCCACTAGTTGGGGGTTCTCTAGGGGGAAAGAGACTAAAGGGGGAACTAGCACTTACCCAGCGTAATTGCCTTTCGTGACGAACTGTCATAAATGCATTCAGCGATGAGTCTATCGCCGGGCATGGAATGCACCGACTGTGGCAAACGTCGAAAGTCCTGATAGGCCACATCTATATTGCTGTCGTGTGCAATTGGCGGAAGCTCCTCGGTTTGTCGTATCTGCAAAGTTAGTTTGCTCATTAGCATTGGTTCTGGCTTAGATCCGTCACCGAATCCCAGTGGATATCAAAGCGACCTACTGGGCAAATAGTAGACGGCAGTGGACTACTCACCTGACGCAGCTTAACCTCCTTGCCGATTTGATGTGTGCGCATCATGACCGCAAAAATGTTGATGCCCTGGGCGGGAAAGGCATAGCCGGTGCAATCCTCAATGCATTGGCCCTCCGATATCACGCGCTTCTGTCCCGGCGGTATAATGTGGCGCCAGTTGGGATCCATACCTGCAAATGTTGAGAGAGCGTGTGTTGAATACTTTTAATTAACGCTTCAGAGTGGCGCAAAGCGCGCTTTATCAAAGCCACCATCCACCAGACCGACCAGCACGACATGCACAATTCCCTAACCAAGCCCCCGACCCAGTTACGGATCCTAGTCTCTGCCGAAGCACTCCACTTACTTAGCTTTGAACGTTGATTTTTTAATTCGATTTGGCGGGTAACGTGTAATTACATTTTAATTGCTGCTTTTGATGTTTGTTAACAAGTTTGTCAGTGCAGCAACGTAGACAAAACCGCCAAATATCAGCAGAAGCAGCTGCACCACCATCAAGGAACCACCCTAGTGGATGCCTCTATATCAATTAGGAATCTTTCTAGACTCTTAACAATTTTCGTCAATCGAATTATGTGTGTGTGTGTGCCTTAAGTGAATTTTGTATACGCCACGCTCGCTGTCTCAATTAGTTAAATGTTGCGAAATATTGCTCATACGAAGCGTTGCACTCGCAGCCAAACTTCCCGTACCAGATACACAATTAGGGCCGCGTGTCGCGCGTCATGTTGAAAAAATATTTGAAATTCATGTGTGCTACATATTTTTATTTACCACTGTTTGGCATTTCAATTGCTTCGTTTGCGGGACTCTGAGTATGCCAATCAAAATACTCGCGAAAAATGCTTGGCATTGCCAGGAAAACCCCATTTGCTCAGGGCCCAGCTGGCAATTGATTTTTATTGTAAATCCGCGTGGGCGCCTTTTTGTTTTCGTTTTATTATTATTTTTTTTCTTCAGTACAGTACAGTAAAGAATTGCATGAGTGTATTTATAGCTTAGTCATGCTCGGTTAGCAACATTTTATAGGAAACATTGCGAATGACATCGAGTTGATTGCATTTCTGTAATACTCGCAGCGTAAAGTTACCTACGTGAAATGCCATTTTAACTCTATGCGTGTGTGTGTGTGTGTGTGTGTGTGTGATTGCTGCATATGCAATACTTCAAGTCCTGTATAAAATATGATTGATTTAAAAATGCTTTGGTAGTTACTGAAACTCATTTTCGACTCTATAAATAATTTAGCTGACGGATCAATCATAAAAAAAGAATTTCTATTAAACAATTATGGAATTATCTAACCACAATTATGAGAGCTTTTATTTTTTATTATAATTTATTAGTTTTTTAACCTTGGTAATGCTTGCTATTTGTTTGCTTTAATATAAATATGAATATAAATAGATTTTAGGTCATTTCAGCTATCTAAAATGAAGGTAAACAATCAAATATTTCAATTTGTAGGTCTGTCAGTTTGAATAAAAATGTGCGGCCCGAGGCCTGTCAGACGGTGCTTCATTAAATTACGTAAATATAATGTTTCGTTGTTTGTTAAATTTTTTTAGTTGAATGGAATGTGCTTCAGTTAAACTATCTGTGAAAGCAATAGCCAAAAATGCTAATGGAAATTGTCACCAAAAAATACAAAAAAAAAAAAAAAACAAATGTGAAAATACAAATTTCGACCCAAAAAGTGAAATTGAGTTTTTGGCAGCAGGTGCGCGTGTGACACAAATCGCCATTTAAAATAATTAGAAAAGTTGCCGCCGATTTCTGATACGGCCGGCATTTTGCATTTTGCAGTCTGAATTCTGCCATGTTGCAAACGAAACTGGCTGCTGTCAACGTGGCGTGCGGCAAATGCAACGTCAATAAAAATTACCAAAATGCAACCCCACCCCGGGCTAGCTCGTGTGTTAAATATCGATTTGAAAAATATGCAGTTATGAATTGTGCCATGCTCCATAGTGTCGTCTGGCCAAATCAAATAGAAATAGAGCCAGTATACCGAGCTCTAAGCCCTCGATACCAAACCCCCCGCCCAAGCCAAAGTTTAAAAGCAACTGTCGTTCGTTGCGTCGCTTTGGCCAATATTGAATTTGATTTAATGAATGGAAATTGGCAAAAAGCATCGATATATACAGATAGCGACATAGAGAGACAGAAAGAGAGACAGAGAGAGAGAGACGTTGACAGTAATTTATGTACCCAATTGTTATTGAAATCTTTTTCGCTTTAATTTCATCAAATCTTTCAAAGCATACTTTTTGGGGCACGCGTTTCATGAGTTTATTTGTAAGCGAATAAATTAAAATAAAAGGGTTTTCAATAAAATTGTATTCAATGTTTTAGCAAGCATAGGTAAAATAATGAAATATTGCGCATTAAGCATGCTACAATAGATTTTAATTTATAACACGCTGCTGGAAATCACAACGCCGAATCAATGAGAGCCATCTGGTTAAAAGTTGTTCGCGCTTTAATTTGGTAAAATTTGATAAACGCGCATGAATTGCAATTTGGAATTAAATTGATGACGCGCTTTGGCAATATTTGCTAGATACATTTTATCAATCTCCGCGCAGCACGTTGATTGATTCCGTTTCATGACATTTAATAAAATGACCAGCAGCGAACAAAACGCGACGGGACTGTTTTGCAGTTAGCCAAGCCAACGTGGCATAGTTCAAAATATGTACTCGGAATGGTAAATTGATTTAAAAACAACGTTGCAGCTGTTGATCAGTGCGAAAGCAAGTTTTGAGTAAATAAAATACAATTTCTAAAAAGCTTTTCACCTAACACCCAACACACTTTGAACTTTACAAATTATATTCATTATTTAATTATTAAATCTGGTAGATGGAGATGGAAATTTGTGTTTGTGTTCGGCGCTTCGTTAAACTGCGCTTTTAAATGAGCTTAAACCCGTGAACTTTTACGAGATTTTCTATTTAATATTTAAAAACAATTCCTGTTAGTTTTCGTACATTTTTAGATCTTTTAAGCTGAAAAGCTTCTGAGCCATAAGCGCCAATGGGCTTAACAAACTCCCACTTCTCCGCAATTCCATCGGCTGCCCCCGTTCTCCATCTACAAGGTGCCATAAAAAACGCGCCAAGCCGCAGCAACATTAATCAAAGCGGCGTTGCATACACCAGGGCGCTATATCAATAACCAATTAAATTGAAATTAAATTTCGCCACACGGACGAGAGAGCGGCCCAGAGCAGAGACCCACAGATCTACGGACAGACAGTCGTACAGGAAGCATAGCAATTTCACAGCTACTTACGCGTGTTGGGTCGACCAGCTTTGGCATAACCGCTCGCCCGTCTCGGCGCGCGTAAGTCCAAACGTAATTCAATTTATTGCGAGCCAGCAAAATGTATCCACTGTTTATATGTATATTCTTTTAATTTTTATTTTATTTTTATTTTTAAAGTATGTATGTGTGTGTGCGTGTACACTTTTTTATTTATTGACTGCCGTGTTGTGGTATGCGTTAAATTCCAATTAAATATTTCAATAGCATTGCCAACTGCGCGCACTGGGACAGCCAAAGCCCACTCGAGCATAACCAGGGACCTAGCCGGAGCTAGCTGTTGCCTGCCTCCCGTTCTTAGCCAGCAGCTACTATGTTGCATGACGAGGCACTAAATATATATGAATATATATATTTGATTTCATTATACTCTTGTGCGGGGTTTTATATTTTGCTAGGAAATGCTTAACGAACCAAAAAAATAAAAATATATATCTCGTTATTTTGTTGCTGGCAGCTCATAAGTCGCAATCGAAGTCAATGAACGTAAATCAATCTCTTATACTACTTTATCGTATAGCTCTCTATGGAGAATTGTTTAGAAATGAGCTACAATATATATCGAATATGTGCAAGCCTTCTTCAGTCTGTATTAACACTTCTAAGCCACATGTCTAGAAGGGCATTTCGCATTCGATGTGCCGAAGGTAGCTCGACTTTGCCGTATTTTTATGCTTTTTATTTTATTTGATTCGCTTAGAAATTGCACTGTATCAGAATGTATTAATCTACTTCTGCTACTTTTCTGCCGTAATACTCCGGAAGTTTTGGCAACACCTCCTCAAAAAGCATCGACGAGAACGTGTGGCCACTGGTGGAGGAGGAGAACGATGAGGATACCTTCATCCTGTATGGCTTATTCTCTCACTTCCTATCCACAGTCCCAACTGTGTTGGCCATGTCTCTGTGCGGTTGTAACAAAGTTATATTGGTTTGCGTGACTATGAACAAAAGTAAAATAACAATTACAACAACTGCAACAGCAGCGACCACAGTGTCCGCCCCCTGGACAGCAATCCACCGCCCACCCCGTCTGGTGGCCACAAGCAAATACAAAAACCAAACGAAGCAACCAAAAGCCGAACAACAGCAAAAATAACAATAAGAAATAGATGCAGTAGAGGGAGTACGAGTAGAATAGAAGAAAATAAAAAAAAAACATCGAAAACAAATTGTAAAGTGAAATTAGTATTTTAGTTATCCTGTGCGCAGGCATAGCTATGTATGGAAACCTGGAAATTTGTTGAGCTTTGCCTGGCAGCGGGTGGGCTATCGGGGTTGTTTAGGATACTCCGGTTCCGGGAAATATACTCAAAAAGCGCTTAAGCTTGGCGAACACACCAATTTTCTTGTTGCGGCCAAAGCAGCGTGGGTGGCATGAAAACTTAGTGAAGACCGTGAACAAATGGCAGACATTTGTTTTGCCAGCCAGACACACGAGTGCCAGCTAACCAGACACAGACCTAACATAACGTAAGGCTGTGCTTGTGAGCGATTTTTCGCATTAATTTTTCAAGGATTAATAAATGTCTAGACTATGTAAAGAGATAGATAAAGAGAGCCCTGTAAACGGCTAAAGGTATTGCAATAATTTTTTAAAATCTTTAATTTTTCACCTATAGTTATGAATTATTACTCGGCATTGACCGGCAAAAAATTGATTATAAGGAACATGGAGTGGGAAATTCGAAACCCTCTCAAAGGGTATAGTAAATATCCGGAAATGTTTTAGTTAGGCTAACAAAATTATTGTTATTAAATAAGTTACGGCGGCATTTGAACCTTGATGCCAACCTCTGTTGGCAGGTAACTTTTTCACTGTCGTCTGTTGAAATTCTATTCCAGCCGTTAGTCACTTTTGATCAATCAGTCAGCCAGTCAGTCAGTCAGAGCTAGCTGCCTTATATATTATGGAAAGACCCTCGTCGCAGCTTTACGTACATTTGAGCCATGTCCAATTGACGTACTTTCATCCCTTTGGGCTCAAAGGCCAGTTAAATTAATAATAAGAATATTGTATACGACAAACTTTTAGAGGGCCATGCAATGAATTGCCATTAGTAATTTATTAATTTGTTTTATGCGTGCATCGCCCACCATTTTGTAATTAATAATTCAGATAAAATAAAAAAAAAGAAAACAAAACAAATTGTTTGCCGGTCTGGTTTATAGTCGAAGAGACGCACTTGATAAGCAATTAAAAATATATTTCTATTGTACAAAATCGTGAATGCAGTCTGGCACGATAGACAATGTTTCGCTAGGGCATACCTTTACCCACAGCTCACACACACACACACACATGCTGATGGATGAAAAACTCATATGCTTTTGTTTTACTAGCCACCAATGCGGCTGCCAGCTGTAGAGGACCGCAGCTCCCAGCTTCCGACTGAGCAACTCCCAGGGTCGTTTTTGGTCTCGGCAATCTCATAAATTGCATGACATGAGTTGCATATATGAAAGCTCACCCCGCATAAAGGATACACACTCACACGCACACACACCATCCACTGCAGTGCTGCAGACACACACACACACACACACACATGAATTTTTGAATATATGTATATATGTATAGATGCATCTATGTGCTATGGGGGGGGGGGGCACCCAAACTTACCGATTGACAAAATGCCAGCGTCATTTGGTCGCAGCACGTGCGTAAAGTAGATTTTCAAACCAGAATTATCCGCCATTTGTCTGGCATGCAATTGGGCAAAGTCCGGCTTCAAATTGTTGTAATGGGTCTCCATTAAATAATATTTGGCCTGTCGCGACTCAATCGGGTAGCCCGCTTCATGTGGATACGTAAAGCCCTGCAAAACAGAAAACAGACACCGAATGAAACAAAAGTTCCCAAAAACGAAAAATAGGGGGCCGAAAAAAAAAAACAACAACAAATAAGCACGCGTCCGTTGGGTGTAGCCGACTGCTCAATGCGCTGTACACAGTGTAAGCGCTTAATTATTCGACTCTAATTGCAATTTGTGGAAACAGCTGTTGAATATATTTTGGCTCGATCTGCATAGAAGCTGGATTTACATGATGACATATTCCGGACAGACGAACGGACAGTAAGATATAAAACCGAAATACTGCTTTTTACGTTGTGCAGCGACTTTCAAAAAGAAGCTGCGCGAGTGTTGTTTGTCATATACATATTTATATATGTATATATGTTTGCCTGTATGCATGCACATGGTTGGAAAATGAAGGACGGAAGTTAATGCCATGGCCATGTGCAATTTAAATGCGCAGCAACATCAGCTACAGGCCCCGCCCCCCCACTCCACCGCTATCGCCATCTCCAGCGGCAGCGCAAGCCGTTGCCATTCAATTGCATGGCAGTGCGCAGCGCCCCCTGGCGGCGCGACATGGGCACTGCATTATGGCAGCGCTCCTGTGATGAAATTATGAAAAGCATGGCAAAAAGGTTCCGAAAGTGCAGAAGGCCAAGCCATTTCTTTTTTTATGCGAGTATACCCTTGCCGAAATTGAGTACCATAAATTAATAGATAAGCATGTGCACGTACAGTTTGTAAAGTCTGTCTGGATGGAGGTGAACATGGTGGAATATAAGAATACACCCTTTATCAATGCTGAAGTGATTATTCCTTAAAATGAAAGTCTAAAAACAATATACAAATAATTACTTAAATAAAAACTGTGCAACTTTTTCGGTAGTGAAGTAAGTTTTTGTAAATTAAGCAATTAATAATGATTAAAGATGTTATAAAATTAAAATTTTCTTTTGGCTAGCTTAAAGTTTTTTTTTCGCTTTTAATAAATCAGCAAGGGTATTTAAAACTTCGCGCACTCGAGGAGAATTAACTTGCATTTTATGTTGAAAGGAAGGCATTTGCGAAGGTTAAATTAATATTGCATGGTTATGGTTCTGACACTGATGGGGTATGGGGATAAGTTGAGCTGAGTTGAGTGCAGTCGAATCTGATGCTTACCTCGCTGCCCCGCGACCAGGAGGCAACAATGGCATTGCATGCCAGCGGAATGGAACGGGCGCCCATGCACTGTCTCCCCTGTTCGCGTGCCAGCTCCTCCAGCTCCGAGTGCGACCCTTGGCACTCGTGGAGCGTTATGTGCTGCAAGTAGTGTACGCTGGACGATGAATCATAAATCGGCTCGTACTGTCGGTCCCATGAAAAGAAAATGAACAGGTCCAGAGACAATCCAGCGTGCGCGGAGAGCATGTAGAGACAGAGATAAATAAATTTTTAATATTTCAATTTGGTTATGCCGAGGCCAAGGAGCATCATCAGCGACAAAAAAAAAAAAAAAAAAAAACAACAACAAAAAGAGGACGCCAAATGCAGCAGACTGCACTTGCCCTCAATTATGCATTGTGTATAAGTATTAACGTTTAGCAATGGCCACGTTAGTTCTTACCCGAATGAGATGGTGCTTTCGATTGATATCCTCCAGCTTGAACATTTTGCACCAAAAAAGCGGCGTATCGCCCGGAGGCAGCTCCACGTCCTCGTTGCGCAGTTCCAGCACACGGACGCGCTCATCATGCGGCGATGGCAACTGCAGCTGAGCGCGCTGCATGAGCACCATGGGCCGATAAGGTCGGAAGGCGCGCGCCGGATCGGGCAGCGTGCCGGGACGCACCGAGCCGTGCGGTGGATCCTGTGCGTGATACATGTACAGCAAGCGCATTGTATCGTTCTGTAAAACAGAAAAAGGCAACAAAAAAAAATATATAACAGCAGGCAAGGATAATGGAGAAAAATGTGTAAAAAATTAGTGGCCAAAGGTGTGCATGTGTGTGTGTGTGTGTGAAGCACAAAATGGCGTTATAATAGCGTCCCTTGCAACAGCGGACAACAGCCCACCCACCCCTGCCTGCACCTGGACAACAAGAGCAATAATGTCGCTGCTGACGTGTACACGGATGGACTGTCTGGAGCTGTGGGCTATGCGGACTGGGGTGCGGCGGTGGCTGTCCGGCTAAATTAAGTAAAAGTAAAAAAAAAAAAAGGTGCGCACGAGTTGAGCAGCGGAAGGAAACGGAAGTCGCCTTGCGGCCATTGGCAGCCGGGCAGGTGTTGTTTGGTCAGCTGCAGTTGACTCTGCAGCTCCGTGCGCTCCATGTTTCATGTACGGACTTGTTTCGTCATGTACGTACGTGATTGTAATGGGGTGGAACGTAAGACAAGTCACTTGAGCCAAGCCACTATTCAATGGCTGCCTTAATTAATGGATTGCAGCCAGCAAATGTGCTCAAGAATATTTAAGAACACAACATTATGCTTCAACTGTGAACAGGTGCTTGCAATTTTTATTCTGTTTACATATTATTGTATACTTTAATCGATTTACCATACATTTTTCGCAAGTGGACTTACCAATAATCGGTGAAAACCCCCTCTATGCATTAATTACAAAGATTTTAAAATAGAAGGTAAGCGGAAGGAAATGAAATGTTCCTCCATTCATTATAAAGTCCTAATTGGGAGGTTTTACACAGAGAAGCATGAACAAATCGTTCACAAATCTTTCCTGTTTTCCGCTTTTGCCTGTACGTTGATTGCACATCAGTCATTCCGCCAGGAGAAGGATGTGTATTTATTCTAAGTATTTGGTTCTAAATAACCAAGTTTGTAGACGTACATCTTTATTTTACCAAGCGGCGTTGCCAAACTTCAGTGCTTCCATTCGATTAATTTTATAAATGCCTACTAATTTATGCAGCTTGCACTCTAAGTGGCATTCTAACCAAATGAAACCAAGCTAAATCAACTAATAGAAGTTCATTCAATTTAAATGCATGACCTCTAGAATTGCATTTGACAACTGTTGCCAAATTTCACAGGCCAATTGCTTCAATACTGTTTTGTGGCAGACTGTACTTGAGCATTTACCAAAATTGTGCAGTTATTTTTCATTCGTTTTACCCACACCAAAGAGGCCACACAAGGACTCGTCCTGTCCGCCATTACATCTTAGCTTCAATTTACACGTCTGGCGCGGCGAACGTGTGTGTATATATATCTAGATGCATGCGTATATATATCATATGGGACTGTTCCTATATGTATGCATGTATTTGTTTTGTTCTTTCTCTTGGCATTTCTTTTGTATTATGTGTGTGCGTGTGTGTGTGTGGGCAGCATGTATATTGCATTTGCCACGTAGTTTTAATTGGTAAACCCAAATTAAAGCTTTCATTAAAGAATCACAACACGACGGACGTCGCGTCGGGCCAAAATGTGCCCGCGAGCGGGGAGTACCATATTCCACTCCGCTCTGCTCCCCTTCCCTCCTCGGCTCACTCTGTTTGTACTTGACTCGTATGCCTCGGGGGCTTTTGGAAGCCAACAGTCAGCTGTCATTGTGTGCATGTCATGTGCACGTGTGTGTGCTTATGTGTGTGTGTCTGAAGCGACACAACAACAATAACAACACATATAGCAAACATGGCAGCGCCACAGAGAGGGTGCATAAGAGCGGAAGAGAGAGCGAAAGAGAGAGAGAGGTGCAGGGCAGGGTGTCGGAGATTGTAAAAAAAATCTGCAACCCGGTCAGGGCATCCATTTGAATTCATTGTGGCAAAGTGCCCATTGTAGCTGTTAAGTGGAACTGTAGAGCACCATGTTCGACAATTGACGGCCAGGGCAGCCAGGGCCATGCCCAGGACAGCGACAACAACGACAACTACAACGACAGCGACAACAACGACGAGTCCTTGTCCACTTGTTCATTTTGCCAGCAACGAGGAGACAATACTTTAATTAACAATTCCCTTACCGCCCACCGCCTACCGCCCCCGATGCCGGCAAGCATATCGCCCCCGCCTTATTCATAGCAAGTCTGCAAAAAACCTGTACAAATGACTCGGTTGCCCGCTGTCCGGGCAAACACTGCGGGCGGCTGCGGCAAACGCGCTAACCGGCCGGCAATCGCTGGCCAGCTGGCAGCAAAAACAACAACAACAACAACAACTCTTTTCGGGTGCAGTTTTAAAACATTTGCCGTGCGACAGGCGCAGCACAAAAGTCATTAACGTGGCTACGGCGCTGCTGGACATGGCCCAGTTGTAAAAACATGACCACTGTGAAAAAAAACTCAACAGTCATTCGGAAGCAAAAATGATACACGATCTCGCAAGCCGACTTCCAAATGCTCTTCATGCAAGGCTAGTTTATGCTAGAATATCAGCTTGAAAGTGTGAAAAGAAATCGGAAATCTCGGAAGGGAATTTGCAAAAAAAAAAATACTGTATTCAAGAAAAATGAATATTTTAAATTGAAAACTCGCGTTTTCTCACTGAACTCCCATTACAAATATACATGTATATTAAAAGCATGTTTTAATAGCCTGTAATAATGAACTTGCTTACAATCTTTATGCTAATATTTTCAGGCAACAGACCTTCCCTTTGTTGGTTTTAATGAGCAATTTTAAATAAAGGTCCTTACAGCCAGGACTGCAGTCGGTTGTTCTAGCCGAGCTCTAGCCTCAAGGTTCAGTTGTTTCATAACTTTGTTTTCCATATACTTTTTTAAAAATGTATTTGAAACAAGGTTGATCTCTGCCCTATGTTATTTTAACCCATGCTTCTGCGTGTCCCGCAAAAATGTTAGCTTTTATACTGTTTGGCTGTTTATGTAGGAAATAAATATGAAATGAAAATGAAATATGTTGAAATTTGGGACATGTTCGCAATTAGAAAAGACAATACTTGTGTGCACATTTCTTACACGCGCCATAAATATCATATATTTAGCCACACAGTTCCACAAAATAGCAACAGCCTTTGGGCATCGTAGTGTATCAGCACGTAGAAACAAAGTGTGAAAAAGCCTGAGACGAACTATGCACACGCACGTAGAACAACAGGAACAACAGAAACAACAACAATAGCTGAGAGTCGACAACTAAAATGAAATGAAAGGCTTCAGCAAGGATTACAACCAAAAATTAATGAAAGCAAACTGGCTACAGTCATTTGGTGTGTGGTCAACGTTTGGCCAGGGACTTAATTGCCAAAGACTATGAAGGGATGAGCGTCAGCCGGGTGGGGTGTGTGTGTGTGTGTGTGTCAGCTGTTGGGAGCAGAGCAGGAGTACAGGACTGGAGGACAACAGGACTACAGGTGGCTGGCACTTTGCTGACTCTTGGCTAATTGTAAAATGCGCCGGTACAAGGACTCATTAGAGTCGTGGTTACGGCCCAAAAAACCTGCAAGGATTGCAGCTAAACGCTTGCCTGAACACAAAATGAGGTCCAAGATCTGAGGTGCTCGGTTTAAGTGCACTCGAAATACGTTTGGGCTTTTGTTAAAGCAGGCTTGAGCTGGCATTCCCAGTGCTGTCAAGCGGATATCATAGTTCAGTTGTTATTTTCACTGAATCGAAATTAAATTGAAAAATGCTCGCTCATCGTCAAGCTAATGTAATCCCGCGTCTGTCGGGCCGTGACAATTACAAGGAATGGAGCCACAAGGTGGAACTGCATATGCGCATCCAAGAAATGTGGCCCGCTGTGATCTCACCGCCGGTGCCCATTAAAACCGAGATTGAACAGGAGGATTATATATTTGTTGCCTCGCGCAAACGCATCTACATACAGTGTCCCGATTCCTTGGTAAGAGCAGAGCAAAGCTCTATTCATAAATATCGCTTTGAGGTATTTCTCTCTTTTCAGAATCGCAAAGTGAAGTTATTTTTGTTTAGATTCATAGAACCTATGATTATTATGCCTGGTTATGCTGAATTGAGTGTACCCTGTCTTTGGCATCAACTGAAACGTCACTATGGCCATCTAGATGAGTCCAAACGGAAGCTGAATGCAAAGCTGCAGAAGAAAAGCAAGAAAATCAAGTTGGCCAAGGAGCAGGAAAATTCCATACGAATAAATCCATGAGAGAAGTATCTTTTTATAAGCCAGGTTGTTGTGTTAAATTTTTGTTGTTCATTTTGGTCGTTAGTTAAAAAGCACTAATAAAAAGTAGGTTTGAAAACCAATTGGTGCCTTAAGCCGCGTAAGATTATTGCTCAGGCATAATATTTAAGGCCTCAACTATCAACTAATAATTGAACAAAAATCTGAATTTGTAAAGCCTAATTCACAAAGCGAACCTTAAAATAGAAAGTTGGTTTAAGCCGTTTGACACCCATTCAATATGTCGGGTTTGCAGTTTTGAAATTTAAAAGCTCGTCAAAAATCATTTTTCAATAAGTTTCGTATTGTGTTTATAGTAACTTATTTTTGTAGCTTTATTTTTTAGCCTTAACACTTTACAATTATATTTCAATTGAGAAAAAATAATTGCTTTCAGCTTTCAGGTCTCTATTTAACTAATCCGCTAAAGAGCTCGGTTCATGGTAAACAATATAATTTCGGTCTCAATTCGATTCAAAATGGGTTTCCAGCCACGTTGACACGGAGTTATGGGCCTTGGTCTTGGTAAGTAAGGCCATGGCTCTTTGATTTTATCATTCTGAGGAGCACATCTCATTAAATCTATCGCAATTTTATTGATTTTCTTTGTATGCCGACATAAATTATTGTGTTTAACTTGCCCAAATACACAGCCCAGTCTCGCACACACACACACACACACACACACACAGATACACACGTACGCACACCTCAAACTTTATAGCCCATTACGATTGTGTTGTTGTTGTTGCAGCTGTTGCATTGTTATTCCTCGTGTTGCTGCTGCTCTTGTTGGCTGCTGTTGAGTCGAGTTGAGTTGAGTTTTTGTTTTGTTTTGTTGCCACTTGCGTTTTGCCATCTCAACGCGTTTTAATAATGGTCCAATTGTCCCAGAAGCGAATACGAAGCGAAACGAAACGTACGCCAAGTTGGCGCTGCTAATGGCTAATGGTCAAGTGGTCAAGTTGAACCGTGTCCTGGAGCTGGTCACTGTCTCGGCCTCGGTCTCGGTCCCGGTGTCGGACCCGGTCTTGGCCCTGTTCTGGTCAGCCACTGTTTGCAGGAGCCACAAAACTTGCTCTTTGCCAAGCTTGTTTAATGTGCACGTAATTGAAATGCATTTACAATTGAATTATAAATAGAGCAAAATACACACACACACACACACGTACGCACACGAATGCAGATACATACATATAGGAAAATTCACACTTGTGTAGTTGCAGACATACGTACATGACCCCGTTGGCCCCGCTGCACTTAAACAATAAAAGCAACGAGTCGCTTTGTTAAAGTTTCAGCAGCAGCTGAGCTTGCAACTAGCAACTGGCAACGGGCAGCGGGCAACTGGCAACTGGAATCAAATCAACCGTTCCCCAGAAGCATTTCAAGAGGTGTCTTTGTCTGTGTGCACCAGGTTGCCATGGTCACGTCGAACATTTCAGACTCATGTGTGTGTGTGTGTGGGTGTGCTCCTGACTGTGCTCCTATTCCTCTGTGAGGCATTGCCAATTCAATCATCAATGGGTTTTTCGTGCGCTGCTGCAAACGTCTGTGGCCTGCAACTTTCTGACAGCTGATTTCAATAACTAATATGCAAAGTGGCAGATTGGCCATGCCACACCCACACGACTCTAACCTGCTTACCCCCGGCAACTGGCGCTTTTCCCCCTCGACAGCCCCTCGATACCTGTTGTTGAGTTTTTGTTGTGCTCTAATTGCCGTGTCAGTCGCTCTGATTGCAGCAGTCAGCAGCAGGCTTTGTTGATAGGCTTTTTATATGCAACCAACAGGCGCACACACACACACGACAGGCTTATGTGCCAAAATTCTCAGACTAATCGCCTAGTCTGTGTCCCATTTAGCTTTCATTCTGTTGTGGGCTCCTAAGTGGCTTAATGATTTTTGTTGCATTCAATTGAGTCATTTTAACTAATGCTGTGTGTTGTGCGTGAGTAAGTGTGTGTGTGTGTGTGTGTGTGTGTGTGTGTGTGTGTGGTGTGGCATTGTGTGTTTTGTGTTCTAGTCGGAATTGACATTAATTGAATTTATTTATGACAAGTGCGGCAGCTTTTGCAGCTGCACTTAAACGCAGCAATCTAATTAAACTTTCTCCACATTTTCTAAACAGGTGTTGTTCTTTTTGTTGCCACTGTGTTGAGTATAGGATTAAATTAAATAAGACGATTTTAACAAGCTGACGGGTGTGCTTATTATTTCAAATTTCAGTTGAGGTTTAACTAACGAATTTGATAGCTATTTAAAATATTCCCAATTTAAAGCAGCTTTTTTACATTATATTTCTGCATTTATCTTTAGCTTTAGTTTGTCTTTTCTAAGTTTTTAAACGCAACGAATTTTTTTTTTGACTACCATCTTATGCTATTAATATGGCTTTGGGAGTTTATTTTGAGCACTTTGTGAGTGGCTTTTCTGTCGATTGCTTTGAAGTTTGAGAGCCCAAAAAAGTATGCAACAGAATGTATATTGCATGCTGCTTGAAAGCCTTTGGCAGTGCCACATCCCACACACAAACACACACACACACACGCACACGTAGACAGAAACACTCACATGGCCATTAACCCAGCCATTGCAGTTGGATTTAAGCGTTTCTCTCACTCGTCAGTCGCCACTTGCGCCGCTGCCAACCAAACAAAAATGCGCATAATTCCCGCTAAAAGTTTGAACTCCCGCACAAACTCTGAAGCTGGTACAGGTTCGGCCAGGGACTAAACGTTCCGTGCCATGCCACTTCCACTTCCATTTCCACCTCCATTGCCATAGCCATAGCCATCGTTCTCGTCATCGTATATTTGTCAAGCAAATGGAATAACCGTTGCAATTGCAACAACGTCAAAGCCAAACAAAAATGTTATTTGCCGCTTTGCCCAAAAATCAAGTACACAACCAAACCAAACCAAAACAGGCAAACGGCGCACCAGAGCCGAAGCATGTGTAGTCCGGACCCAAAAAGTGGTCGCTGTTGGACTCTGCGACTCGCCATCATGTCCAGGATGCTATTGTGTGGGTGTGCGCGCGTGTGTATGTGCGTCTGCCTGTGGGTCTGGCAACGGCTCGCATAGTCGCTTTATTAAAGCTAAAACCTGCATTGTCCCCTTTTACACATGAGTTGTGAGTTGCAAGTTGCGAATTGCGAGTTGCACGGCGCGGCGCGGCAAAGCGCAGCCTCCTCTTGTATAAACTGGCAGAGATTCGCATGAGCTTCACAGTAACAGGCAATCGGAATGGTCAGAGCTTATAATGCTCTACACGAGTGCTGGATAATACACATTTGACGAATTGTGCGTTCTTTGAATTGGGTACGTACTAGCTGAGGATTATTAACGAGTTAAGTTTTCCAACAAGTCAAATTGCACAGAAACTCGTTATATCTGGTGCACCATACTGAATAGTTGCTTATGCCTCAAGTCAATAGTATAGCTGGTCCAAAATATTTTCAAATATATAACAATTTTTTGCCTTGACTGATCTACTACAATTTTACAACACTTAAAAATAGGATTTAGGATTATGGCAAACAGTGTTGTAAAACTAACAGAAATGCTTCACCTAATCAATTCTTAAGGCCTAATATGTAATTTTATCGATGTTAAAAAATATTTCAAAAGTTTAAATAGCTCTAGTTATTTAACATAAAGTAAGGCTTTCGATTGAAATTCAATGAGAAGTGAACCATTTCACAACACGGCTTCGATTCTGGTTTTAATGTAAAGAGTAGTTTGCAATTTTCAATTTCACACAAATGCATTCCCTCCTAAATTTTTGCTTATATGGGAATTTTGCTTTCAGAGCATTCGGGTGTCGACTTGGCTGGGATTTAGCCATTTTCTCTTGTTGCGCTTCACTTTCGGGCTGTGATTTTCGCGTTTTGCGCGTAAAGTTTGCTCAATGTGTGCGAGTGTGTTGTTGTTGCCACTGCAGCTCCTGTTGTGTGCACTTGAAGTGCATGTGAAACGTGTGCTGGCCAAAAAAACAGAAACAAAACCAAAGCAAAAAAATAAAAGAAGCCCAGACGCAGGCAACACCAAAGCTAAACGCAACGAGAAGCGTTTGTTTTAATGCCCTAAAGCGACAAATATTGGTAGAGCAGAGAAGAGCGGGCAGCGGGCTGCAATACAAAGCTCTGTGTGGGATTTAACAGCCAAAGTAATGCAATGACAAACAAAAGCAACCAGTGAGAGCCAACCATGAGTCAAGAGCGGCAGCAGTTGGTTTTCGCCGAATGCTGCGGCTGGGCGCGGTTGCAATTTTTGGCCATTTTTCAGTTAGTTGAGTGTTTTAACTGTTTTGCTTGTTGTTGTTGTTGCTCTGTATTTGCTGTATTTTGGTGCAGCCAAGGCAATAAATAACCAGTCAAGCTTGCCAGCTGGATTAGCCATCCAACGTTTTAACGTGCATGTCAAATGCAACAGGCCAAGAGAATCAAGACCAAAATGTGCACATCTTTCGGGCGAATTGTAATTAAGCCCTGGCAGCCAGTTCCTGCTGTTCGGCAACGCCAGTTGCAAATAAAAATAATTAAATAATAATAAAATGGCAGGGAAAACCGCAAACATCATACGGTTACATTTTTGCCCCACCGAGCAGAGCTGTAAAACCAATTTGTTTATAAAAACTATGGGGTTAGACTCTGGCATAAAGTGTGCGCATTGTTGGTAACCTGTAGTTATTTTATTTTATTATTTATGGTTAAATGGTGCAGCGTGCCCCCCTCCCCACTCCCTCCCGACCCCACCCACAGCCTGGTTCGTCCAGAAAAAGCTAACTCGTTTATTAAATTCATTTCGTAGTCGTCTTTTTTTTTTTTTTTGTATTTTATTTTGAACATTTTTATTTTTGTTCATTTTTATATAGTTTTCATGCCGCGCCAGTAACCAAATAAGCCACAAAACCCGAGCAGCTAAGCAACTAAGACACACACACACACACACAGATTGCGAGAGAGAGTGGTGGGAGGGGGAGGGGGTATACACACATACACACACACAAAGTAACCGCAAAAAAGTGGTCAGTTGGCCAAAAACTAAACGAAATGTAATAAAGCAACGGATATGCCAGTTTGCTTGAACTCTGCAGCAAGCTGGTAATAGGAAAACGGGGGGCATAGAGAAAAACTGTGCTATGCAGATAGTTGGGATGGCTCTTAGTGGAGAGGCAAAAGCACAACACAATAAATGAATATGAATTAGGCAACAAGCTGCATGCTAAAAAGGTCTCTGGCTTGGCAAAAGAAAAAAGAAACACTGCTGCAATATTTAAGGAGAGTTTGATATGTTAAGGTCAGCTCCGAATTTCCGTGCAGTGCCAGGTCCAAATAAAAGCAGCAATCTTGAATTACTGCTTTATTCAATCATTAATTCTTTGTATACTATTTACTTGGGTTGCAATTTAGCAATTTCAAATTGTTGGCAATTCCCCCAAGTAACGAAGCGCCTTGCACAACTTGCGCAACTTGCTGACTGCAGTTGAAATGGGCTTCAAGGACTTGAAGGACCTAAATCTAGTTGCAGCTACACCTTTGCTTGGCTTTCGGCCTGCCTAAATGTCATTTGCTTGCAGCTGTGCGGGGCTGCAGCTATATTTTTAGTTATGCCCTTGTGATTTTTTTCAGTAAAAGGTTAAAAGCATTTTATATGCAATATTATGCAAAAGGTATTAGGATTTTGTTACGAAATATGTAACGCTTAGCAAAAGAATTGTCGAAGGCTACAGCTAGGATATAGCCATAAATTTACTATATCTAATGAAATATGATCATCCATATATATTTAGTGGGGATATCGTTATATGCACGTGATCTAGGAATTATTGGCTTGAAACGGTTTTCCTCTCGCTTCTTGCTTTTTTTCCCAAGATATTGATATCATGGAGGTAATATTTTCCTGATATAGTCTATATACATATAGCTAGAAGGGTATATTATCTTCGGCAACCCGAAGAATGCGTTTTATTTATTTTTATTATGTCGCTCACTTTTTTTGAGTCAACTCTGGATTTTAAAAGCAAAATTTAAATCAATTTAAGTTAAATTGTGTTGCATACTTTTATGTTCGTTTGGAAAAGTTTTTTTTTATTTTTTGTTGCAGAGCTATTAAATTTTTAAGTGCCACGCGGAGACCACAAGATCCACAAACACCACAAAAGCAACCGCTAGCCATCATTTCCCCTTCCGCTCGGCCCTTTGCACCGCCAGCTCTCCACTAGCTCCTCACCAGCTCCCCACTAATAATTCATTATAAAAGTCAGTGCTTTGGTTTGGTTTTTGCGTTTTGCTGTGACGCGAATTCCGCCTTAATACTTATTCAACCCCCTCTTCCCTCCACCCCCACCACCCTTCCAATGTAAGTTTCGAGCTTATGTCGTGACAAACTGCACACATATGTGTGTGACCATATATGTCGTGTGTATGTATGTGTGTGTGTGAGTGTTTGTGTTCATGTTTATGGCACCATTTTGCACAAAAGTCAAAGCAAGAAATAAGGAGTTGCGGTCATTCCCTTAATCCATTTCGTCTTATTTTCAGCATACTTAAAACGAAATATTTGTATTTTGTTTGAAAGAAAATATAAACGAACTTTACTGCCAACATATGAGAAAGGTGGATTTTTCTTCACGCGTTCACTTAACCCAATGAAATTGCATTCGATTTCGATTTCAAACCAAGCTGAGGGAGAAAAGGTTTTTGGGAATTCGTGACACTTATTGCGGGCATTGCTTTAGCTATGGGGGTCGACCCTCTTGTAAGTGTTGAAAATTACTGTCGACTTGACTTGTTGCCTTTTTGTTTTGCCAGCTTGCAATGCCAAACTACAACAACTGTAACAACAACAATAACAATTACCGACTTTGCAAATGTGTGTGTGTGTGTGTGTGTGGAATGCGAGTGTGTTGAAAGTTATTATGGGTTCCCGGGCCAGGACCCGGACCCAGACCCAAAGGCCCATTAATGGGCAAAATTACTGTTTACAAGTATAGCAGGCACCGAGCACCACTCACATAGAGACGCCACGAACCCAGCACCACTTTGCAGTGCAAGTTTCGTGTTAAAATAATAAACACATAGCAAAAATTGTAGCAGCATGTGTGTGGCAAGCAGACTGCATAATTCCATTACAGAGCCGCATGCCCCAAACTCGAGGCGCGCAGTCTGCCTGCCATAAACTATAAACTATTTTATAGCAATATTTTTTCGATGTGCCCAAACTCTTCAGCGTTAGTTTACACGGCAAACATGTACTTCGCTTTCTACTTATACAGAGCACACATAAAAAGCGTGAGTGTGAGAAGAGTTTAAGAAAAACACAAACAAGCTCAAAAATGGTCGAACAACTCGCTGCTGCAATTTTGTGCACATTAGCGCATCAATCTCGACTTATGGCCTGTATATAGGATATCATCTAGTCGATCACATGTGATTGGAGCATTTTTACTTGTTTTTCTCTTGTTGTGCACAATTTTTGCATTTTAAATTGCCAGACAGCGAAATGTTGTGGCGAGTATGAACAATAACTACAACAACAATAGCACCAACGGGTCGAACAACAAGAACAACAAACAATGTAGCACAATATGAAATTATTCTAATGACAATTAGTGTTAATTGTCACTTACGGGCTACAGAATGTTGTACGTGTGTATTGTAATTTGCCATGCTTAGAGAAAATTTGCATTTAAAATTAGTTCTTCTTTCTTCTGGCAGTTGTTGTTGTTGTTGTTGTTGTTGCTGCTTTGTTTTTGTAATTTTGCAATTTCAATTTGAGTTTAGCCCAAGCAAATAATAACATGAAAGTCATGAACAAACTGTCCGCATTAATGCATTAATTGTAATTACTTAATTATTTGCATAAATCAAAGTTTTGTTGTAAAGTCGCCTGAACATTAATTTTAATGAAAAAGGACATTTTCCCCATTTATTGAGAAGCCACTCAAAAAGTTTGCCATGACGCCCAATTTGCAGATCGCCGCATAAAGGAATAAATTAATAGATTGATGAAAATCACTCGAGCTACTTAATGACAATTTTATGTAGCTCGTCAAGTTGTCGTTTTGCGTTTTATTATTGGCTCAATTTAATTGCGAAGGACTATAGAGTTTTTAATGATTAGCTGTGGATGGTAATTAAAATCCAAAAGATTTTAATTAATCGTAGGGAACTGTGTCTTTTGTTTAAAATATATTGTAAATTCAATGAAATTTATAAACAATGGCACAAAAGTTTTTGGAAATTAATCAGCAAAACAGAGGAAGATAAATTTAATGTTTGGCCATAAATTCAAAATTCTAAACGACAATGATTTAGTTCTATGTACTAGGTGTAAAAATATATATATTTTATAATTATTTCATCTATCGCTTCGCTCAAACAATGTTGAAGATAAATGGAAGCCACAAACATATACTACAACAACAAAAAATGAGAAAAATTCATAATAATCACAGCTTGAACTAAACGGAAAAGATTGTTTAAATTGAAATAGTCCAGGAGAGAGAGGGGACCATCATCAAGATATGCCCATTTTCCACTTTCTTTCTCAGTCTCTCTGTCTGTCTGCCGCAGTTAACATTCACATCTATCTCTCTCTCTCTCTTTCTCTTTGTGGTATTGCTATGTAAAGTGTTTCCGTCAAATGGCGTCTGACAAACTTGGTAAATGGACTGCACGCCCCGCCACATAAAGTGGGCGGTTACATTTGGGAAGGCCGCGAAATCTGAACGCAAGAATCAAATTGAAATGACGCACTTAATGGCATTTATGGTTTATGCGCATTTTATTATAATGTGACTTCGATTCTCCATCGGGCTGTCTGCAAATTTTCCACTTTTGGCCATTTCATTTGGTTAAAGAGAGCGGGACCGAGACGAGGGTTGACCAACTGTCGCCGACTGCAGAGTCACCCTCTCGCACGACTCTTTTTGGCCAATTGGTAATTTTGTTATTAGTCACGCTCTTTGCGCTTCATTAATGTTCATTACACACAAATGAACCCACATCGATTGATATTTCTCGTCGTCTGGCGGTTACAAATGCCCGTCATATACATACATATTCTATCTAAATATATATATATATATATTTTTTTTTTTTTACGAATTGCGGTTGACATTTTGCGGCGTGCAATAAACTCGTTTTATTTAGCTGGCTGGCAGTTTTTTTTTTTCTATTTTTATTTATGGCTTAAAGGGTTGCTCGCCTTTTGCATTTAATTATAAAAATAAACACACGCTCACATACGCGTATTACAGTGAATTTATTTATATAGCCACGTATATGGATGCATATGGAAAACTTTGAACTTTTGGGTTATGCGTCACATATGCTTGGGTCGAGTTCGAGCCAAGTTCGAGGGGGGTTGCCCGACGTTCACAAGAAATAAGAAAATAAAATTTATTGACGCTGCTTTCTGCACGCTTAATTGAACATTGGCAACTTGAAAGGCTGATCGACTGATTGACTGAGCCACTGAAACGTAATTTTTTATGACCTTTGAAAGTTTGAAGCCTGTTCTTTTTCTGTTCTCTGTTTTCCGTTTATTTTTTTTTCGTATTCTGCTGAATTCCCGGTAGCGAGTTATTTAAAGGGCATTTCATTATGCGCCTAACCAGCTAGAAATGTTGTTTGGCTCCTTGTTGTAGGTTTATTGAAAATGCAGGCGGTTTTTAGTTTTCCTTTTCCTTAGCGTTTTCGTTTTATTTATCCTCTTTTTTTTTGTTTCCATATTGTTTACTTTGGCTTTGCATTATTTTGGGTTAATTTGGTTATCTAATAAAAAATTGAACGAGCCCAAGGGGTTGCCAAAAGGGTGGATTACGGTTGGGGGGGTTGATTATGCCACTTGAGCGGCTTAGGTTAAAACCATATGGTTGGCTTCAGTGCACTTTGAAGTGGCATGGAAAATGTGATAAGCATATTAATATTCTTTTTATTTAGTTTTTTTTTTTTGGTTATGGAAAAACTTTGATTGAAAAATTCAAAAAAAAAAAAGAAGAGAAAAGAAAATGCTGTTATACTGAAAATGGGATAAGCTGTAGAGAATATTTGCTGAAGAGCCTGAATGCGCAGTAGCAAAAAGCGGATTTGAATTTTTTAGCTCAAATCGAAAACTTAAAGTGAAAACTGTTAACGTAATTCTATTATCATATAATTCTGCATGTTTTTCCTGAACTGAGATTTTCATAGCCTTAACATGAGCTGTAATCTATTCTTATTATTAATTATGCTATGATTTTTTCAACCTGTTTATACATTCTTTATTGTTTCCGATATCATGAGTATTTTTTCTGCCTCTCAGTTAATTTCAAGGCACTCAAACCCGACTTTTGTCGCCAATTTCCTGATTGATTACATTTTGTTTCTGCTTGCCATACAAATTATTTGCTTCCCTGAACATTTGCATTCCTTTATTTCTTCTATTTTATTTAATTTGCACAATTGCCGCTCATTAAGCGTAGGTAAAATCCAAACAATTAATAAATTTTTAAGTGCAACGCAAATTATGCACCTCTTGACCGACCTCAAGACCCCTCCACAAAACCAACGCTCGTCAACTGTGGGGCGCACCTGCAACCGCTCTGCACACAATACATTATTAATTTAACTACCCCCAGCTAGCCGACTCTACCCCGACGCTACAAACACGCACAACAAATGGGGCTTAATTTGCCAAATGGTTGTGACCCCTTGCACCCTTTGTCCTGCTTGGGTAGCTTAAAGTTTTTTAGTTTTTATACTCTGTGCACGATGTGCAAATGAGTGTATTAGTTGCTTTTAATTTTAATCAATACAATTGAATCCTGAAATATATCTGTGTATGGCGATAGATGCCAGATAGATCCCAAATAGCACTAGATCCTTAAGTCACAGCTTAAAAGTCGCGGGCTTGCAGTTCTCGACTCATCTACTCGCTTCGCCTGTGTACAGGGTATAAGTGCAAGCAACTTTTTCTTTTGTGGGTGTTGTTAGACGCGCGAATGAACAAAGATGTAAAATACCTTGACTGGAAAATTTGCATAGATGGGTAAAGCGCAACGCAAAGTAAACGAACGGAAATAAAGTAAAGTGAAATAAAGCACAAAAGCAAAGGGAAGCAAAAGTAACAACCGAATTTCCAACTTTGTGCAAACTTAAGCTTAGTGTAAGGCCAGCCAGCAACAAAAATTCATTAAAACTTTGCATTGTGTTTCAAAAATTACGAAATAACAACAACTACAGCAACAACTTCTTATAGAAAGAAAAAGAAAACAACAAGAACAACACCATCAATAACTAGCACATTGCGAACTAATTTGTCTGGCGATTTAGTAAAGATTTGGGGCCCCAAAATACTCCCAGCCAATGGCTGTTGATGACGCGACAAAACCCAATTAATACGCCAGACAAATAAAATGGTCAGCCCAATCTGGCAAGCCAAAGACAAGTCGGAAAAACCGTTTAGATACAGCAATAACCCAATGTGTCTACACACAACCAACCAACACACACACGCACACACACGTACAAGCACACACGTACAAACACACGCAACGGTGCATAATTTTCTTTTTTCCTTCACATTTTCGGTTGTTTTGCTTGGCACCACATCTAAGTATATCTTAATATATGTATATGCTATGTGGTTTTAGGAGCGGGCCTTGTCGCGCGTCTATGTCGCCAGGACTTTCTGTCTGTCCCTCTGTCCGTCCGTCATCCTGCCTGTCTGTCGGCGTGTGTGTGCGTCTGCTGAGTATTTGTGCTTGTGCGTGGTGCCGTTTGTTTGCTTAAGTTAACCAGAAAGTTTTCTTAAAGATTTACGCTTAAGTTTTACGTGATAAAACTTTTATCACTATGACATTTTCTTCTGGATGATGCTGAAAGAAGTCAAGGAGTAGAGCTTTAGTCGGGCCAATTGACAGTGGCTGTCGATATAGAGGATTCCATAGAAATGATACTGTATAAACATTGCTAAGTAGCGAACAGAATGCGCTGTTTGCTTTTGCTCATATATTTTAACTAGCTGCTAAATAAATGCATTTCGCGTGATTAATTGTAATCGATAGCATTTGGTAAATTTGGATCGATTGTGATACTCTCTGATTAATAAGAATATTCCAATGATATGAGGAACACTAATCGATAATTGGTTATCGATAAATGAAAGTGTCTATAATTCAGATATTGATGAATTTTACATTGCCCAGAGAATAATCCTTTTCTTGCTTGCTTTTCATATAAGTATTCATTTACTAAATAAACACAGATATAGATAATATAGTACGGAGACACATTTAGTGATTGAAGATTGGTAATCGATTAAAATGATTGTCAGTATCCCACTCATCGGTCAATTTATACAAAAAAAAGAAGGTATCTCGTATATCGATCAATTCATTCGCTCACAAATATTTTCACAATAACATATTCTTTCTAATAACTTCCGCGTTTAACATCAGGCCCCCCTTGAAGTTGCAACCCTGGCTCTGTGGACACACAACTTGTGCTGATATATGCCTAAAGATATTGGGCCAACTCGTGTACAACTCATGTTAGTCGTCTTTTGTAGTTATTTGCCAGCCCCATCCCAACAAAGTATTTATGCCCGCTGGCAAGTTGGGCGTAAGTACGTGCCGCTGTTTGCTTCCCCCGGAAATCACTTTAGTATTTTGATGGCGGCGCTTATATCATCAGCCCAAGACTCAAGACATAAGAAACTTTTTATTAACATAAATTATGAAGGCGCACACATACACACACACACACACACACACACACACGCACACACACTCGCTATGAGGGAGAGATAGAGTCAATAGTCAAGCGTGGCACAAGTGAGTGCATAAATTTCACTTGGCACAAACTTTGGCCAATATATCTATTAAACGTCGACGGTGCTTACCGTTATGGCGATGTCATGGCTGGCATCGCATGTGTCCAACTTGCGGCGGAAGCGTAGGACGGTGTGGGTGGCATTCTCGTAGCCCAGCATCAGCATGTAATCCTGGGAGGGATCCACGACGGGCTCAGTGTCGCCATTGCGTGTGACGTGTCGATCCTGCAAGCAGAAAGAAAATTGTGTGTGGTTTGTGGTTATTAATTGGAATGAAAAATTTACGAAAATATTTAATTTGCAGCATACTTTTGTGCGACAGGCTTCGCGGCCAGCACACGCTTCGGGCGCATATTCCATGTCATTTAACAAAATAAACTGAAATTCTGCAAACGTTGTTGCTCGCTTTTTCGGAGTTCGCTCCCAGCCGCAGGCACTTCGAAAATCCCCAACTTGTGTGCATAACTTTTACGCAGCATCTGTGCGTTGCGTTTTTTTCTGCCTCATTATACCCTGCATTCATTAAAAGCGTGCCGAACGGGTAGCATAGAGTTCTGCTTTCTACACATTTCTATATGCTTATATGAAGATGCGTAGCTAAATATACACATAAATATGAAATATATTTCATATGGTGTTTCGTACTTTTCACATTATGAATTGAAAGTAAGTTTCTAGGTTTTCAAAACTTTTCCAAGATGAACTTATAGCTTCTTTTGTTCCCTTTCATTCTCTCTTAAACTCTTACTTGAAATAAAATTTTTGAAATGTATTTTCCAGCGTTTTCTTGTGTAACAGAATATCTTATAGACAACATTTGTTTACATTTTCGCTTGGTTTTTCTCGATTTTTTTTTTTTTTAATTATTTCTTATTTCCAAAATTTTGTTCCCAGACGATCCTTTGTTTCCTTTTTGCCTTTCTTCCGCTTTTCTCCATCTCTTTCTCCCTCTCTTTCTCTCTCTCACTCACTCTCCCTCTCTCTTTCCTCTTCCTTTCTGTCTCTCTCTGTATACCATATATCTCTATGTCTTGACAGCTTCACCACCTTCAATTTGAGTAGTTGCCCCACCTATGTGAACATAAACCCCTTTTTTGAGTCAAAAAAAAAGAACAAACATACTGAAATTTTTTTTTCTACACTCTTGACTTGTTCGATTCTCATGCACATGTTGGCCGGGGCTCGACACAGACGCCAGATGAGTTTGAGTTGAATTGTGTGTGTGTTTGTGTGTGGGCGATGTAAATTCTTATGCATACATACATACATACTCTTAAAAATATGTACATATGCATGTGTGTATTCTTACAGGCCACTGTTGAAAATATTTGGTAGTCGTATTTTTTTCAAGTGAGAGCTAGGCTTGGAGGGGGGCTTTGGGGCATGCTCTGTGATTGTTGTTGGGCGGCTGCCTCGCATATTGGCAGTTGACTGCAAATGGGCGTTGTGTTTGGCATGCTCATGGCACATCCTTGCCAGCATGCGGCAGGAGCACTTGTGTTGTTTTTGGTATGGCAACAATTTGTTGATGATGTTGCAAAAGTCGAAAGTGCCCCTGCCACTGGCACTGCTTCTGCCCCAGAGCCTGTTACCCTGCCAGAAGAGCCCTGGTAATTGAAGCTGATGGAATTTTTGAGTAGTTTTCTATGTAGATATTTCAAATTTTTATTGATTTAATTATTTGTTGTCGTTTGTCATTTGTTTGACTGATATCAAAGTTTTTCAGCTCTTAATGCACTTACACCCACATATATATGCGCAGCTCTGGCTCAATATAGAGTTAGTTCAGTTTTTATTATTGCATTTACGATTCGGAGCTTCTTTGGTTGTGCACATTGTGTGTGTGTGTGTGTGGCTTTCAGGGCTCATGTGGCTGTAATTGAATGTGCTGCTGCCAATATTGCAATATTGGAAAACAGGTTGTGGCATTTGAGTGGCTGCACAGATGAAGTTATCATTAAAAGGGCTTAAGGACAGGCTCTGCCCCGAATTGTAAATTATTCATATTTGAAATGTTTCTATTATTAATATGTTAACATTATGCATCAGTTCAAACTGAGCCAAGCAGGCCTTTAACAAGCAATTACTGAGTTCTCTGGGATTTTAACAGTATTTCGAGGCATTAAATTCAAACGAGTTCTTACTTTGGCCAGCTTAATGATTGCAATTAATATTGAGTCGCATGTTTAAACATTAGATAAACTTATCGCAGCTGTTGGGCAGTTTTTGTGCTCACACACACGCACACAAATATTTGCCTACATTGGTTAATGTTTTATCATCTTGTTGCTATCTGGCACACAATTCATTAGAAGCATTTATAATCTCCACTCAAGCAACGATGTTCAGTTTCCCAGGCTTCTTCCCTTCTTCTTCGACTGTTCCCGCTCCTCTGATCCACAGACACATTGCCCAACATTATGGAGTGAAACTTTTCTGCTTACAGCTCATAGCGTTTCCATCATCTAATTACGACTGAAATTTTCACACACCTGAGGCAGTTGCAATTAATTTGCCCCAATTTATATCATCAACCCCCTCACAGATTTGGCATCCCCTACATTCACACTCACACCAGCGAGGCAGTCCCGTTGCGTGTTTTGTTGCCCACAATTACATGCCAGCATTTCATTAATCATATCACACGCTGCACCATTTGCCATTTAGCTGCCTAATTAAAAGTTTGCACAAAACATTTAACATAAATTCCAGCAAATTTATATACACATAGATATATATGTATATAAATTTTGTATCTATGCAGGAGATAGACCTTTTCGAACTGCCTGTCTGTCTGACTGTCTATCTTTCTGACTGTTTTGCAATCTGCAAACGCATAATTCAAGATCTGTAACGCGCAGTTCCGTTCCCGCTCCCATTTGTGTACCCGTTCCCGTTCCCGTTCCCGTTGCCCTTCCCGTTGCTGTTTTGCACAGTTTCCCTTTTAATTTTACATTATCTACCTCTACACACACACACACACACACACACACACACACACACACACACTCATGCGCACACCTTGACATGTTGCTCGCTTATCGCAACAGCAGCCAAAAGTCGCGCATACGCCGCGTATGCCGAGAGAATTGTGAGCATTGCGCGCGGCGACGGAAATTAAAAATACGCGCTGCAATGTTGCAAGCACCCAAGCGACGTTATCAAAATCAGCGTGTGCGTGGGCGCCAAGGGGCGTGGCAGTGCGAGAGAAGTGGCAGCAGCGTTCCCGCCTGCGGATGACGCGTTGTGGGGTAATTATGCAAAAGGAAGGCGCATAAATTTGCAGTATTCTCAGCTGCTGCTGCTGCTGCTACTGCTGCTCACTTGTGCTCCGAAAATGTTTCAAATGCCAACGACGTTTTAACTGCTCACAACTTTTTATGCGTGCAGCTCAAATGCCGCCCAATTCGGTCTTTAGAACACTTTCCCGCGTGGGAAGCCACAGCACTGTCGTGTTGTTTGCAACACAATAAAATATTTAGTGGAACATACAATTGAAATATATTTCCCAAAGATAGTTTGCTATATGCAGCAGCTGTCCCAACCAGAAAGTGATCATAGCCTATTTTCTAAATGAATTTCCAACATAGTTTTCATTATGTTAAAGCTGTTCGAATTACTGAATAAATTGTAAATAGTTGGCAATTACTCTGCAGTAATTCGATTGAATAGCAATTAAGGCATTAAAAACATTTATTAAAACATAAACTATTTATGGTTTAATTAGATTAACTGCCAAACAGTTAAAGTTAGTTAGTGTATTGCGGCTTCGGCCAGATGCTGACCAAATTTTTATTCATTTTAAGCTGCATGCCATGACTGCGTAGTGCGTGCAGAGTAGGAACTTTGTGGGCGGGGTGGTTACTGTGGGGAGAGCTCGTCCTGCTCGTGGTCGTCGTTGTCAACGCACACGTTTTTTTAATTGCTGAAATTTTATCACACCTTCATGGCTGGCAGGACTCGTAAATTGTAATCCTTGTGCGCACTCTGCAAGGCTTCTGCTTGAGCAACGCTGACGTCGCCGTTGCCGTCGCCGTTTTCTTTGCCCTCGTTTGCCCTTTCTGTGCTCGATGTTGTCATTAACGTCGCTGCCTCTTAAGCATTTAATAGCCTTGTCAAGACTTTAATGCCTTTTAGCTGCCGCCCCCTAATATGTGAAAGAGCGGCGCAGTAAAAAAAGAGTGTAGAATATGGAGTGCGAGTGCGAGTGTAGGTGTGTGTGGGCGGTGGGCGTGTGGGTGGAAATCAATAAAAGCAACGGCAAATTAAGCACCTTTGCGCTGCTTCTCGAACAACCAAGCCACAACGTGAACTTAATAGGATTATGCAACATTGATGTTGCGAGCAAAGCCAAACAAACTTATGTAAAGCCTGTCACTGCACTTAAGAGCAGCAGGGGGCTGTGTACCCGGCCAACCCAAGACTGAGCCTTGAACCCTTTCGGCATCATAACATGCGCCTAATTGTGCTGATTTTCGCTTGATGAAAACTTTTGACACACACTCACACACACAACAAACATGCAGCCCATCATCAGCAGCAGCAGCAGCAGCAGCAAGTGGCAGTCCCAAGTTTTGTTACGCCAAAAACAAACTTTAGCAATTTATGATAATTCAACGTCAGCTGGGACAGTTCAGTGTTCACTGTACAGTGTTCACTTGAAGTACTCGCTATATATCGAAGTATGCAGGGGTAGCATCAAGGCTCAGGCCCAGTTCCCAGCCCATGACTGAGATGCTGCTAATGTAAGCTGGCAGGCGAGCTGGCAGGCAGGCAGTCAACCATCAACAACAACTGACAGCTGGCTAGCAGCGAAACGCTCAAGCGATAGAGAGAGCGAGCAAGAGAGAGACAGAGAGAGAGTGCTAGCGAGAGAGAGAGAGAGAGAGAGTGCTAGCACGAGGCAGATTGATAGAGGAGAGAGATTCTTAAAATATGCTCGTAGCACACATTAAACTTATTACCCCCACAACATAACCCCTCAACACTTTGCCAGTGACTAGTCAAAACCCACATACACACACACACACCCGCACAGTCTCTCTACATGCTCAGACTTTGCTTTATAAACAAATGCATACAGCAAAAGGGTTGCTTGCACATAGCACACAAATATCAAAATGCTAGCTATCTATCCATACACATATAATACAAATTTGCCATTGATGTACATATATATATATATATATATATATACATAGTTCATGCTCGTAAGGCCCTTGCAT